GCACCCTTGGGGGCCTGCGATTCCCACCACCCTGGAGCCTCAGGGCCAGAGCGGCCGTTTTCCAATCACACCTTCATCTACTTCTGCATCACTGACTACGCCTTCGACCGTGTGGCTCCCAACAACTGGAGAATTCTTCAAGGGATGGGAATACCAGACCACCCGACCTGCCTCCTGAGAAACCTGTATGCAGGTCCAGAAGCAACTGTTAGAAGCAGACGTGGAACAACAGCCTGGGTCAAAATAGGAAAAGGAGTCCGTCAAGGCTGAGCATTGTCACCCTGCCGATTTAACTTCCATGCAGAGTGCATTATGCGAAATGCCGGGCTGGATGAAGCACAAGCTGGAATCAAGGTTGCCGGGAGAAATACCAACCACCTCCGATGCACAGATGACACCACCCTTATAGCAGAAAGTGGAGAAATACCAACCACCTCCGATACGCAGATGACACCACCCTTATAGCAGAAAGCGAAGAAGAACTAAAGAGCCTCTTGATGAAGGTGAAAGAGAGTGAAAAGGTTGGCTTAAAACTCAGCATTCAGAAAAGGAAGATCACGGCATCCGGTCCCTTCACTCCATGGGAAGTAGATGGGGAAAGAGTGGAAACAGTCTGGCAGGCTACCGTCCGTGGGGTCGCAGAGAGTCGGACACAACGGAGTGTGCCATGGCAGAGGGGTGTGAGTCACTCCTTAGGGAGAGGTGGCCTGAATGTAAATCAGCTCAGTTCTTCCCTCCCTCGGACCCCGGGGCCCCTGGGGGACACAGACCCGGGCAAGAGCCAGTCCCAACCTCTGGCAGAGCTTCCGAGCTGAAAGGGAGCCAACTCCCAGTGGATGCAGAGGATGCTCTAAGGAGAAGCCAGTTTCCCGAACATGGGGACACAGATCCAACACCCTGGTGACCCCCGCCACCCCGCCACCCCTGACCAGAACATGCAAGAAAGCCAAGTGGCCATCTAGACCCCTGCTGCTAAAAGAGGAACCTTGGGAGGTTGATTAAACAAAAAAGAAAAAAAACTGAGAGGCAGGCTACTTGCTTGAGAGGGAATGTGGACTGTGTTATGACATTTCCTGTTCCTTGAGATGATAACAACTGGCTGGTCACTCAGATACGAGGAAGGCTCTGCTGCTAGGAGATTATTTAAAGAGAGAGGGAGAGAGAAAGAGCGTGTTCGTGCGGAGGACCAGATTCAGCCATACCTGCCATAGCTGTCCCCCGAATCTTACATCCGGAAGGGCATTGGGGGCACTCCCCGCTTTGGGAGCCTGCTACTGAAGTGTCTGACACTGTCCACCCGCCACGTACCCTGGGAAGGCAGGACAGCGACTCCAAGTAGCCCCGGACTCGGACAGTTGGGCGAGAAAGATCCAGAAAGCTGACGGGCCGGTAAGTGGACGGCACCCCCATTTTCAGGGGGGCTTGCTCTGGCTGGTGGGATCCTCTGACCACGTGGGTTTGTGATGGGACGGGACATCAGAGTCCCAGAGGGACGGCCTCACCCCAGGGGAGGCTGCAGAAAGAAGCTACCGGGGAGAAAGTCACGCCACCTGAGCTTCCGGAAGGGAAGGGCGGACACTGGGTCTTCTCCGTTTCCGACTGACGTGGTGGGGAGTCGTTGTCTGCTGGGGTCCGATTCCTCTGTATGCCGTGTTATCTGCGTGCACGCTTGGTCGCTCGGTCGTGTCCGACTCTTGTAGCCCCGTGGACTGCAGCCCGCCAGGCTCCTCTGTCCCTGGGCTTCTCCAGGCAAGCACATTGGAGTGGGTTGCCATGGCCTCCTCCAGGGGGTCTTCCTGACCCGGGGAGTGAACCTGGGTCTCCTGCCTTGGCAGGTGGATTCTTTGCTGCTAGCGTCACCTGGGAAGCCCGAGCTATCTACCTGTGAAATATTTCCTCTGGGGGAGTCTTTAAGCTATGAAGTCCTCGACGGTTTTTTTCTCACGGGACAACACGCACGGGACTGATTTCCACTCCCATCCCCTTCGATCTCGCTGGGGACACAGACCCTCACTGGGGACATAGCTCCCTCTGATCTGGCTTGCGGTAACACCCAGCAAGGGCGTGGAGGCGGGGAGGTCTCTCCCCTGGGAAACACAGAACTGAGATCACCTTCACTCCATCCTCATGAAACTTAACAGAAGTGGCGGGGGATGTCAGCCTGTGCTCAAAACCACGCAAAGCTTTTTTTTTTTTTGACCTCCTGACCGCGCGGCTTGTCAGATCTTAGTTCAAACCCAGATGCTCTGCAGTGAGGGTGCAGAGTCGTCATCACTGGACCACTGTCAGATTCCCCCAGGAAGCCTTTCCGTGCCTTTCGCTGCAAAGCATCTGGGAGCCAGGTGGGGACGTTTAGGTTCCTTTGGTAGAGAAGCACATGGCAGGCCACCCCGGCATTCTCGCCTGGAACATTCCCCGGACGGAGGAGCCTGGCGCACTACCGTCCACGCGGTCGCAAAGAGTCGGTCACGGCTGAGTGACTCAGCACGCACAGACGCACGGGGCCCGCAGGAAGAAAGTGGATGGGTACCAGACCCAGTCCATCTCCAGAACTCGTTCCATGACGTTTCCTTATTTTCCGGGAGGTCAAGAGGCTGGGGTTACGTTTCAAAGCATCCCCGTCGTGACTTAGAGATACAGATGGGGAAAAAAAAACAATCGAGATGGAGATGTCTGTCCACGGATGAGAAGTGAGGGGCTTCCCTGATGGCTTTGTGGGTGAAGAATCTGCCTGCCGACACAGGAGACACAAGAGACGTGGGTTCGACCCCCGGTCCGGGAAGAGCCCCTGGAGGAGGAAATGGCAACCCCCCTTCCGGTATTCTTGCCTGAAGAATCCCGTGGACAGAGGAGCCTGGCGGGGCTACAGTCCCTGGGGTTGCAAAGAGTCGGACACGACTGAGCCAATAAGAGAAAAGGTGAGGGTCTGGGACCTTGCTGGTGGCCCAGTGTCTAAGACTCGACATTCCCAATGCAGGGGGCATGGGCTCCATCGCTGGTCAGACTAGACCCCATGTGTGGCCGCTAAGACACAGCTCAGCTAAATAAAGGGGAAGGAAAGAAAGAAGGAAGGAAGGAAGGAAAGAAATGAGCGTTTGCAGTAAAAATAGCCCTGGAGGCAGTTGACACCGTGGAGACGTGTAGGAAACAGGCGGTGGGTGAGGCGATGATGGTCAGAGACGTTGCAGGGAACCTCCGCACACACCCGCTGAAAGCACGAGTGGGCAGAGCTGACACCTCTCCAAACGCTGGGACGTTGCATGAGATTCGGCCACAGGAAGCTTCCGTGGAAAAGGATGGCCGTGGGCGTGCAGACCACGTGGATAAAGAGCCCCGCTGCTCGTGGACAGAATCTGTTAAAATGGAGAAGGCACAGCCGTTGCGCACCCTCCCCCGCCCCGAGCACGCCCTGTTCCTCCCCACCCACCAAGGAAGAGGCGTCCAGTTTGCACGCACCCTGTGGTTTCCCGAAGCCCTGTCCTTCCCTGCCTCAGCCTGTCCTAAACAGGAAGACTTCTGGCTCGCTGCTGAGACGCGGGGCAGAAAGGAGGCTACCCCAGATACAGAGACGAATTTGTCTCCAAAGGGTGTCGGCAGCCGCCTCCCAAAAGGTGCCCGAATGCTGAGGGTCCTTGCGCCCCATGTTGAGGGTGGCCTCCTGGCTGCTATCACCTCCTCCTGCAAAGGTGTTTCATTGTCAGGCAGGTCGCCTGTAGCTTCCCTCCTGATCACTTCTGTGCAACCAGCAAGGGCGTGCCCATCTCTTTGTGTTCGTAAAGTCGTGAAGATATCAGGAAAGAAAAAAAAAAAATCTACTCAAATGCACCAAACCCAGCCCTGTAATCACCAAACATAAAAAGAACCTCCATCAGAATATTCTAGAACTTCTTACAGACTTTTTTTTTCCATGCTGCCCTGGTGAAAGAAGCAGTTTTTTCAAAGGAGAGGTAAGTGTTTAGGAGTCAGCTGACCCTCCTAAGCCATGGTTTATCCCCTAGGTTGTTGCTGGGAGTGTTCCTACCTGCAGGGGCCTTTGTGAGCAGAAGAAAATGAAAAAACCAGGGTGCCTGAACTCAGGGACAGACAGTTGCCTCATGCCCCAAAGTGGATGCTGTGGACCCAGCATCCTCATCATACATCCCTTCTTTTCATTGCGGGTGTCACCTCCCCAGACCCTCACTGACCACTTAGGAGAGGATCAGCTTAAAATAATATCGATTACAACAGGAGCCATTTCCTCTTGGCTCAGGGGAGTTCCAGGGTAAGGTCCTCTGCGGAGGACACTTTCTAATTTGGAAAAAAAAATAATAATAATAATATTGATTAGCCACTCCTAAGTATACCTCTCAGCAGCAGTAATGTGGACCAGTGGTAGAGGAGGGCTGAAGGGAGAAAAATATGTTGGGCAGAGCCCAGAAAATATTTGTTTAATCCCAGTTTGCTGAGACTTGTCATCATGAATATGTGTTAAAAATTTGATGCTATGGATAGAGTTTGAAACAGAATTTAAAAGGGAATCTCATGTTGATGTATGGCAGATGCTAGCACAATTTTGTAAAGCAACTATCTTCCAGTAAAAAAAAAATTTAGAAAAATGGAATCTGATCGTGCCAGGTAACCCAGAGGTGTACAAGGAGGGTGGTGACCTCACACTATATTCTGATGGGATATTTCTGACCAAATAGGGACATCTGGACAAACCAAGAACCCTTTAGAGGGGTGGAAGGGGTGAGGCTACCCGTGAAAAGAAGGGACATGTAATGAGAATGCAGGTCCATGGCAGCCACTGTGGGATATGAGTCAACCTTGTCCGGCCCTGAGCTAAGTGCCTTGGGCCCACCATTTTTCTCCACTCACAAAGGCTCTGGCAGCCAGGTTCTGATCCCCAACGACGGCCTGGAGGTTGTGCTAAGAAGGAAGTGCTCCTGCCCTGACTGGAATCTGTTTTCTGAACTGCTGTCTCCTCTTTGGAGGTTTAGGTCCAGCTTCAGGCCTGAGGCATGGTGGTCCTGTTGGATTGCGTAAGCCTCTTGGTACTGCTGAACTCATCTTGCTCCGCGGCCCTGGGTAAGTGCCAGTACGTCTTCCAACGCTGGGGAGCCCATGCTGGGGTGGGGGCTGCCGCCCTCCTAACCCCTGAGAGGGCAGAGTGTCTCGTGGCCTGGAGTACCTCCCACCGCTGCTAGGTGAAGGGGGTCTTCTTGCAGATCATTCTAGAGGCGGATACCCTTATTATTCAGCAGAATCAGGGACTTGGAGGCGAGGGAGGGTCCTACAGCTCCAGCCCCAAACCCCAAACTCAGCTGGAATGTCAGATTTGCTGCCTATGTTAAGGTTGTTGTCATTAAATCACTCAGTTCTGTCCAGCTCTATGCCCCCATAAACTGCAGTACACCAGGCTTCCCTGTCTTTCAAAATCTCCAAGAGCTTGCTCAAACTCATGTGCATTGAGTCAGTGATGCCATCCAACCACCTCATCCTCTGTCGTCCCCTTCTCCTCCTGCCCCCAATGCCTCCCAGCATCAGGGTCATTTCCAGTGACTCAGATCTTCCCATCAGCTGGCCAAAGTACTGGAGCTTCAGCTTCAGCATCAGTCCTTCCAATGAATATTCAGGGTTGACTTCCTTTAGGATTGATTGTTTGATCTCCTTGCAGTCCAAGGGGCTCTCAAGAATCTTCTCCAGCACCACAGCTCAAAAGCATCAATTCTTCAGCGCTCAGCCTTCTTTATAGTCCCACTCTCACACCCATACATGACCGCTGGAAAAACCATAGCCTTGACTAGACCGACCTTTGTTGGCAAAGTGATGTCTCTGATCTTTAAGATGCTGTCTAGTTCTGTCATAGCTTTTCTTCCAAGGAGCAAGTGTCTTTTAATTTCATGGCTGCAGTCACCGTCCGCTGTGATTTTGGAGCCCAAGAAAATAAAGTCAGCCACCGTTTCCATTGTTTCCCCATCTGTTTGCCATGAATTGATGGGACCGGATGCCATGATCCTAGTTTTTTGAATGTTGAGTTTTAAGCCAGCTCTCCATCATTGAAGACAAAATCCCCTGAAAATCCCCGGGAAGCGTCTCTGTGAAGCGGGCAGAGACATAAAACAATCTTCTTGTGAAATAAGCCCAGAACCAGAATTATGCCCGCTAACGAAATCACTCAGATGGAAAGACACCTCACCCCGTGAGAGAACCAAGTCCAACATGTTACCTGACATGAGAAGCTCCAATAATTTGGCCACCTGATGCAAAGAGCCGACTCATTGGAAGAATAAAGAAAAAAAACTCTGGAACTGGGAAAGATTGAGGACGGGAGGAGAAGGGGACGACAGAGGATGAGACGGTTGGATGGCATCACCGACTCGATGGACATGAGTCTGAGCAAGCTCCGGGAGTTGGTGATGGACAGGGGGGCCTGGCGTGCTGCGGTCCACGGGGTCGCAGAGAGGCAGGCACAGCTGAGAGACTGAAGAACCATCACCTCTGGCGGGTTTGCCGTTTGGAAGTTCCGGCCGCTGCTGGGTCCTCTCCTCCTCGGAAACTGGGGGGGTGGGCGCAGCTTTCTTCCAGGGCCACCTCTGGCCAGAGCTTTTATTTAGCCAGTTAAAAGATGTATATGCATCTGCAAAGGTGAAGCGGAGAAAAGACGAGAGAAGGTGGGGTGGGTGGTGAGAATGTCTTCGTTTAGGGCAGGCTTGTCCTGACAGGAGGTACCTGTCCAGCTCCTTCACTCCAGCCCCCAGGTCAGAGGGGACTCTCTGGGACAGCACAGCACTGCCCACCCACCACCCACACACCCGCACGCCCACACAGCTCACCCATCCCCTCCGTCCACCCTGAATGCCCAGAAAGGGGAAGCCGCTCACTTAAACCACTGCATCATGCCCTGCCTCTGCTTCCGCGCCGACAACAGGGAGGGTTCCGGCTCCTACGCATCCTGTCCAACGAGCATCTTCTGGTTCTTCAAATCATTACTAGAGGCAGACATCACTAGAGCACCGCTCCTCGGGTGGCGCTAAGAGAACCCGCCTGTCAGTGCAGCAGGCGTCAGAGGCTCGGGTTCCACCCCTGGGTGGGGAAGATTCCCCCGGAGGAGGGCATGGCAACCCACTCCAGTGTTCCCGCCGGGAGAATCCCGGGGACAGAGGAGCCTGCTTGGCTTGACTCAGCACAGCACACAGCTGATCTCATGCGGATGGCTCGGTGCTTCACCGAAGTTTGGATTTGGTCCCTCTGATGATTCAGGGCGCCCACCATCTGTCACGCGCTCCTGGGTGTCCCTGCGTTGTTCGCGTTAAAAGAGCTCGCTTAGGTATTTTCCCGGCGCTGCAGTGGCTTAGGACTCTCCCTTCCAATGTAGAGGGTGTGGGTTCAATCCCGGGTTGGGGAGCTAAGGCCGCCCCCCACGTGCCCCGTGGCCAAAAAGCCAAACGTAAAACAGGAGTGGTGTTGCAATAGATTCGATAAAAGACAGGAAAAAAAAAAAATGGTCCACATCAGAATAAAATAGCTAACTCCAGAGAAAGACAAATACTGTGTGGTGTCACTTATATGTAGCATCAGAAAAATACAAGCAACTAGTCAATGTCACAAAAAAGAAGCCTACTCCCAGGTATAGCAGACAGATTAGTGGCTCCCGGTGTGGAGACGGAAGTCAGGGGGTGCAAGATAGGGCCCGGGATTTATAAGAAGCGGGAGATCAAACTAGGAGGTATAAAACAGATAAGACATAAGGATGGGTTGCAAAATGCAGGCAGTATATCCCACATTTTATAATACCTGTAAATGAATTACAACCTTTAAAAGTGGCGAATCGCTATATGGTACTTCCACAGTAACAATTTGAAAGGTTACTGCCGAATCACGAAAAGACTGCGGGATTCTTGGCCTCTGGAGGAGAAGAATTCAATCCGGGGACAGAGACAGGCTTGATGGCTCAGAGCTTCTGTGTCACAAAGCTTTATTATGTATAAAGGAGATAGAGAAAACTTCTGACAGAGGCATCAGAAAGGGGCAGAGAGAGTGCCCCCTACTAGTCTTTAGCCGGATGTTATATAGCTACTAGCAGTCTGCTAATTAAAGGAAGGAAATGTCTCAAGACCAGACAGCGGCATCAGGCCTTTCACCCACAAGATGCATTTTGAGATAATCTTGGAACCAGGTGAGTCATCCTGGGCCATAACACCATTGGCAGGAATCTTGAAGAAAGGCAGATTCCCTTGCAAATAGATAGTTTCATTAACATAGATTAGGAGAACAATATCTGACTATGACATATTGGTTTGTCAGGTCAGCTCTGAGCCTTTAGGCTGAACCGACCTGAAGACAGAGTCTGGGGTAAATGCAGAATACATTAACATAGCTTAAGACAAACATTTCCGTGAGAAAAGTGCATGGGTTAGCTCAAGATTTGACAAAGGTTGAGTTCAGGTGGAACCAGGGCTCACTCTGGCAACACAGTATTTTAGGAGAAACCTCTTTCTAAATTTGTATAGAGAAGGGAAAAAAAATATATCGCTAGTCTGTCTCCTCCTGCTGCTTAGGAGAGAGATAAAAAATGTCTGACACGTGCAGCCTGTGTCCTCTATTCAGAGACCCCTGTCATTCCTGTCTGTTACCCTATCAATATTATACACATATATTCTATATATTGTACTCTCATATATTGTGTTATATTTACAGTTATATTTACTTGTGTATAAATATATGTATCATATATATGTGTTATATTTATTATATAAAGTATTTAACATAATTATATACAATATATGCTATATAATATAGGAAATAACAGAATTAATAACATGATACATAAAGATATACATTGATATATACATTTATTTATATATTATAATATAAACATGTTTATATGCTATGCATGTATTTATACATTATAATATATTCATATAATATATTTGTGTGTTGGTGGTGGTTTAGTCGCTGAGTCGTGTCCGACTCTTGTGACCCCGTGGACTGTGGCCGTCCAGGCTCCTCTGTCCCCGGGATTCCCCAGGCAAGAATCCTGGAGTGGGTTGCCATGCCCTCCCCCAGGGGATCTTCCCGACCCAGGGACCGAATCTAAGTCTCCTGCATTGCAGGCGGATTCTTTTCCATCTGAACTAGCAGGGAAGCCCTGATTCTCCCTGTCTTTTTTGTTCTGTTTTTAATTACAGCAGGAGACACGGAATCTCCTATTGTAAACGTGACGCTGGATCCAAGAAAAAAAATATTAAGCTGGAATACCCGGGGAATCGTGACTCGGCAAACATGTGCGATCGTCACGCCTCTCGACCCCGACGACGTCAGCCCAAACCTACAGGTGGGTGCTCATGGCTCACGTCCTGTGGGTCTCTCTGCTCCTTGTCAATCTTGAATTTCCTTGTAAAATGCCTCTTGAGCCTCTCACTGTTTAATATTCTTGGCTGGGAGGAAAACACATTTCCTCCATCTTCTTAGGTTCAGTGACTGGGGTCTGCAGATGAACTGGACAAAAGCCAGATAACTGGGAGAAAAAGCATCCCAGTTTATTCACTTTTTTCCTTTTTTTTTTTTTTTTTGTTTTTGGCCACACGGTATATGGCACCTTAGTTCTCCTACCAGGAATCAAACCCACGGCCCCCCACACAGCAAGTATGGAGTCTTAACCATGCATCACCAGGGAAGTCCCGACATTTCTAATTTTGACATAAATGAGGCTTCACAGAAAAGAAGTGATCGGACTAGGGGGTTTGTGTGGCTTTCTTTAAAAAGGTAATAAATTACAAAAACATGAGAAGACAAAGAAAATGGGATTTGGGTTTCTGGGGCTGAAAAATAGTGTGGAAGTGACTAAGAAATATGTAAGGAAACTAATGGAAGATGAAGATTGTTTTAAGTTCCGTAAGTTCCTTCAGTTAAAGTTCCTTTAACTTCCTTAAGATCCTTGCGGTTAGGGCTCTGGGCTTTCACTGCTGTGTTCAGTCCCTGGTGAAGGAACTGAAATCTCACAAGCTGCACACTGCAGTGTAAGAAAGAAGAAAGTTATTTTATGAGGTCACCTTGAAGCTACTTCCCCATCTAAGTGGTAAAGATCAACCTCCCCAATCCCATGTGGATAAGATAGGATGTTTATGCCACCTTCACAAAGGGACATCTATGCCTGCTTTTGTGCAGAGAGCAACCGGTTCTGCATTTATTGATTCTTCACTGCCTTTAGCTCTGAAAAATCTTTATGCCAAAGTGGCATGTTTTGGGATCCCCAAAGCATTAATTTGAAAAGGTACATACACCCCAATGGTCACAACGGCACTGTTCATGATCGCCAGGGCACAGAAGCAACCTAGGTGTCCCCTGGCAGACGAATGGATAAGGTATGTACACGCAATGGAATGTTACTCGGCCATGAAAAAGAACAAAGAGATGCTATCTGCAGCCACACGGATGGACCTGGAGGGTATTGTGCAGAGTGACACACGTCAGGCAGACAAAGACTGATATCAGACGATATCATTTGTACGTGAAATCTAAAACATACCGCAGACTAGTGAATATAGCCAAACAGAAGGAGACGCACAGATGCAGAGACCAAGCTAGTGGTGACCAGTGGGGAGAGGGAAGTGGGGAGGGGAAGATAAGGGAGAAGGATTAAGAGGAACAAAGCACTACGATTCAGTAAGCTACCAGGACATATCACGCAGCGCAGGGAATTGGAGTGACACTGCATCATAGCTAAGAATGGAGCGCTCGCATGCAGGCCAGGTCGCTTCAGTCACACTCAAGTCTTTGAGACCCCACGGACTGCGGCCCCGCCAGGCTCCTCTGTCCGTGAGATTCTCCAGGCAAGAATACGGGAGTGGGCTGCCATGTCCCCCTCCAGGGGATCTTCCCGGCCCAGGGATCGTACCCGCATCTCTTGCTTCTCCTGTGTTGGCTGGAGGGTTCTTTACCACATAGCGCCACCTGGGAGGCCCCGAAATGAATTTTAGAACCTTTACAAATTGTGAACCACACTGTTGTCGAGCTGAAACTAATCTCACGTCATCTGTTAACTGCACGGCAATAAAAAAGGACGTGGGTCCTTGTGAGGGTCCCCCACGCTACCCCGAGTCACTGGAACTGTCGCGGGGTTGAATCCAATCGCAGGGAGCCGACACCACAGGTTGTACATTTATTCTCCCTTCTGCCCCTTACAGGTCAGAAACAACGATTCCTACTTCTGCACGTTTCGCAACGCCGTCCTGCACCAGGGGGCCACTCTGACCGTGAACGCCACCTCTGAGGGCCAGGAGTTCTCGTGCCAGCTGACCTTTAAAAACCCAGGTGACGTCTCCCCGGCCGCTGGGCACGTTCCCTACGGTGCCCGGCGTCCATGTGGCCGGCGGGGTGCTGCTGATGACTCGGCCTGCGGTGAGGAATTGGCTGTCTTGTCTTCCCAGGCAAGGAGGGCTCCGGAGCCCAGAACCTCTCGTGCGTCATCTACAACATCCGATTCATGAACTGCAGCTGGATGCGGGGCCCGGCCGCCCCTGCAGACGTGCGGTATCAGCTCTACACATGGGCCTCTCTGTAAGCCTGGCTGGGGTCCGGATGTGGAATGCTGGGGGAGCCACGGGCTTGTCCCATGGAGCAGGGACTCACAGGGTCCTGAGGGTGGATGCTGGGTGAGCCCTGCCCGCCCCCACCCCGTGGAGCAGGGACTCACAGGGTCCTGAGGGTGGATGCTGGGTGAGCCCTGCCCGCCCCCCACCCCATGGAGCAGGGACTCACAGGGTCCTGAGGGTGGATGCTGGGTCAGCGGTGGGCCCCCCATGGAGCAGGGACTCACATGGTCCTGATGGTGAATGCTGGGTGAGCCCTGCTCCCCTCATGGAGCAGGGACTCACAGGGTCCTGAGGGTGGATGCTGGGTCAGCCGTGGGCCCCTCATGGAGCAGGGACTCACAGGGTCCTGAGGGTGAATGCTGGGTCAGCCATGGGCCCCCCATGGAGCAGGGACTCACAGGGTCCTGAGGGTGAATGCTGGGTGAGCCCTGCTCCCCTCATGGAGCAGAGACTCACACGGTCCTGATGGTGAATGCTGGCTGAGCTGTGGGCCCCCATGGAGCAGGCACTCACAGGGTCCTGATGGTGAATGCTGGGTCAGCCCTGCTCCCCCCATGGAGCAGAGACTCACAGGGTCCTGAAGCTGAATGCTGGGTCAGCCCTGCTCCCCCCATGGAGCAGAGACTCACAGGGTCCTGAAGCTGAATGCTGGGTCAGCCCTGCTCCCCCCATGGAGCAGAGACTCACAGGGTCCTGAAGCTGAATGCTGGGTGATCTGTGGGCTGGGCCACAGTCCGAGGCCTCAGTGGAGCTTTGCTATGCTTCATCACTCACTCAGGTCTGACTCTTTAAGACCCCTCGGTCTGTAGCCCGCCCAGGCCCTCTGTCCATGGGGTTCTCCAGGCAAGCATACTGCAGTGGGCTGCCATGGCCTTCTCCAGGTGATCGGATGCTAAACGCTGGATAACGCATGAGCCCGTCCCACAGTCCAGAAATGTTTCTTTTCAGACTGGAGGACATCGATCTATGATGTCCAAACAGCCAGGGAGAAAAGCACCCATCTCCCTGTCTCCTTCATGTGGCTCATCGCTCCAAGTTGTCAATCCGCCTGTGGGTCTGAGAGTGTCAGGGAATGAGCAGTTTTGTATTATTTCTTAACAACTGAAGCATCATTCAAACTGAAGTACAAGAGCTTCAGGTACATAGCATGCACACACACAGACACAACATATATATATATATATATGTGCGCTTCCCAGGTGGTGCCAGGGGTAAGGAACCCTCCTGCCAATGCGGGACATGTGAGAGATGCAGGTTCGATCCCTGGGTCGGGAAGATCCTCTGGAGGAGGGCATGGCAACGCACTCCAGTGTTCTTGCCTGGAGAATCCCACGGACAGCGGAGCCTGGCGGGCTGCGGTCCAGGGGGTCACAAGAGTCGCCCGCGACTAAGCTCCTGAACAAGAAGGACCCCAGGAGGATGCACACCACTCAGCTGCTCCTTGGTGTGTTTTCTGGGCGTCACAGGCACGGAAGCGTGTCCGAGTGTGGCCACTACATACAGGACTCGGCCGGGACGCGTGTGGGCTGCCACTTCGACGAGCTCGGCGAAGGCCACACCACAGACGATTACTTCTTCCTGGTGAACGGAACCAGCAGCGACACGGACATCCAGTTTTTGGACTGTCCTCCCGTGAACGGCCCGAGGCTGGGTAAGACGGTCGCTCACTCCCCTTGTATTGCCCTGCTCCTCCGCCAGCCGTCTGCTTCACGGCGTTCGCATTTGTCCCAGGGCTCTGGAGGCTGCGCGTTGCGTTCCAGAGCTGGCCTCACCAGGATCTAGATTAGGGGGGAAAGACCCTGATGCTGGGAGAGATCGAAGGCGGGAGGAGAAGGGGACGACAGAGGAGGAGATGGCTGGATGGCCTCACCGACTCAATGGACTCGAGTTTGAGCAAACTCCGGGCCACATTCAAGGACAGGGAAGCCTGGCGTGCGGCAGCCCATGGGGATGCAGAGACTCGGACACGGCTGAGTGACTGAACAACCACCACAGGTGTAGAGAGGGTCATGACTCTCCCTTGGGGTGGGATGTGTATGCTTGCGTAGCACGTGAACAAATTGGACTGACGGACGCAGTCTTGGAAAGGAATTCCTCTCTTTGTAGGGGACCTAGTGTCCTTCTGGGGGACACTCCCACATCACAGAGTCTGGTTCTGGACAGACCATTTGTGGGGTTGGCCGGTGTGTTGACCTTGAGTTGGGCACATGAGTGACTCCAGGAGTGTGTGTGTGTAAGTCCCTCCGTCGTGTCTGACTCTTTGTGCAGAGAGCGTGGAGGTGTGGAAGACGGTGTGGAAGTGTCTCAAAAGAACTAAAAACAGAACTAAACATATGACCCAGCAATTCCACTCATGGTTATCTATCTTAAAAAATAGAACACCAAACATGCAAAACTGAAAATACTAGTTCAAAAAGATGACACGAACCCCAATGTTCATCGCAGCGTGGTTGACGATTGCCAAGATAAGGAAGCCATCTAAGGGTTCATTACCTGGTGAATGGATAAAGAAGATATCGTGCATATATACAATGAAATGCTGTGCTAACTCACCTCAGTCGTGTCCCACTGTTCGCGACCCCGTGGACTGCGGCCCGCCAGGCTCCTCTGTCCATGGGATTCTCCAGGCAAGAACACTGGAGAGGCTTGCCACTCCCTTCTCCAGGGGAATCTTTCCAACCCAGGGGTTGAACCTAAGTCTCTTAAGGTCTCCTTGGCAGGCGGGCTCTTTACCACTAGCCCCACCTGGGAATCCCACAATGAAATACTCAGTTCAGTCACCCAGTCGTGTCCAACTCTTTGCAACCCCATGAGCCACAGCATGCCAGGCCTCCCTGTCCATCACCAACTCCCGGAGTCCCCCCAAACCCGTGTCCGTCGAGTCGGCGATGCCATCCAACCACCCCATCCTCTGTCGTCCCCTTCTCCTGCTGCCCTCAATCTTTCCCAGCATCAGGGTCTTTTCAAATGAGTCAGCTCTTCACTTCGGGTGGCCAAAGTGTTGGAGTTTCAGCTTCAACATCAATCCTTCCAGTGAACACCCAGGACTGAAATGGTACTCAGCCGTAAAAAAAAAAAAAAAAAGAATTCTGCCATTTGCAACACCATGGATGGGCTTGCAGGGTCTCGTGCTAAGAGAAGTACTTCAGACACATAAAGACGTGTGCTGCTGCAGGTGATTTCGTCACTGAGTCATGTCCCACTTTTTGCAACCCCAGGGACTGCAGCCTGCCAGGCTGCTCTGTCCATGGGCTTCTCCAGGCAAGAGTACTGGAGTGGGTTGCTGTTTCCCTCCTCCAGGGGATCTTCCCAACTCCAGGGATGGGAACCTGAGTCTCCTGCATTGGCTGGTGGATTCTTTACCATCTGAGCCTCCAGGAAAGCCCAGTGACTCCAAGAGTTGACACCAAGTCTGCCTGCTTGGGTGGTACCTGTAGATGCTGGGGGCGTTTACTTCCCGCTTGTAGGGTGTCCCGGAACAGGCGAGGGATGTGCCCGGAGAACCGGATGTGCCCGAATGGCAGCCCACTCCGGTATTCTTGCCTGGAGAAGCCCCACAGGCGGAGGAGCCTGGCGGGGCTACAGCCCTCGGGGTCGCAGAGAGTCAGACGCGGCCGAAGCAAGGTAGCTCGCATGGCAGCATTTCTGCCTGGGGCTCCGGCGAGGCAGAAGGTAGAGGCAGAGGGCGGGGGAGCCCGGCCAGGAGCGGACAAGCCCAGGACGCACGCTCAGCGGACCTGAGGTTTGGCATCCCCAGGATTCAGGGTTTTGTGTCCGGCTTTATGCAACGACACGGAAATGGGCCCAGGTTACCGGGGGGTGTCCTTCCGCTGCCTCGCACCCACTCGGCTCCTGTGGGTTGCAGGTGTGTAACCCTGTTTCCTGTTTGGGTCTCTTCTCAGAAAAGTATAACCCGCCCGCGAACCTCACCGTCAAGCACAACGTGTCCCATTACGTGATTCGCTGGGACGCCCCCGCCATCAGATACAGCCTGTCCAATAGCGTCTTGCGTTACGCGCTGGATATCCAGAAGACGGTGAGGACCTGGACCTTCGTGGGGGAGCACCGGCTGCCTCTCCTCTGCTCCTCTCGCTTTGGGGTCCACCCCCCGCCCTCACACACACACTCGGACGTCCCTCTTTGCCTCGCGAGTCTCTTCTGTGATGCATTCTTTACTCTTTGTCCTAAAAGTGCCGCTCATTCCTCTTAAGGAATTTGTTTTACTTTTGGCTGCGCGGAGGCTTTGCCGCCGCACGCGGACCTGTTTCTCCAGTTGCAGACAGCGGAGGCTGCTCTCCAGGGTCAGTAGTTTTAATGCTCAGGCTCAGTTGCTGCAGGACACGCGGGATCTTCCTGGACCAGGCATCGAACCCATGTCTCCCGCGTCGGCAGGCAGACCGTTAACCACGGACCCTGCCCCACCCCAGGGAAGTCCGTGCGCATTCATTTTTGCTGACGTTCACTTACGAACTGCTGTTTGTTTGTTTTTTTTTCCCTGTCATCGACGGTGTCGGCGGTCGTACCTAGGAAACCGGCTTGCAGTGCCCTAGGTTATAAAGAGGAGAAGGCAATGGCACCCCACTCCAGTGCTCTTGCCTGGAAAATCCCGTGGATGGAGGAGCCTGGTGGGCTGCAGTCCATGAGGTCGCTAAGAGTCGGACACGACTGAGCGACTTCACTTTCCCTTTTCACTTTCATGCATTGGAGAAGGAAATGGCAACCCACTCCAGTGTTCTTGCCCGGAGAATCCCAGGGAAGGGTGAGCCTGGTGGGCTGCCGGTCTATGGGGTCGCACAGAGTCGGACACCACTCCGACGCGACTTAGCAGCAGCAGCAGGTCATAAAGATGCTGCGTGTGTTTGAGTCTCAGGGTTTCGTGGCTCTAGCGGTTCCGTTTAGGGCTTTCATCCACGTCTGCTCTCTGCCTCTCTCCCTCCCCGCAGGAAGGCAAGTTCTCTCAGAGCAGGGGCCCCAACAAAAATAAATAAATCAACTTTCATTCATTCCAGCACGGAACTCACATTGAAAGGTAGCATCTTTCCTTCTAAGATGGAGAGAGGAAAGGCTAGAAGAGAGAAACAATGTGTTCCTTCTTTTTCCTTTGGGCTACACATCTTTTGTGGTCTTTGTTCCGGACCAGGGATAGAACCCTTGCCCTCAGCGGTGGAAACACAAGAGTCCTAACCGCCACAACACCAGGGCTGATGTTGTTCAGTCAATCCTTGGGTCAGGAAGACCCCCTGGAGAATTGCATGCACAGAGGAGCCTGGCGGGCCACAGTCCACAGGGTCACAAAGAGTCAGACACGACAAAGGGGTGAACACAGCACTAAGTTTGGTAAAGAATCCACCTGCCCGTGCAGGAGATACAGGCGAGGTGGGTTCGATCCTGGGTTAGGAAGCTCCCCTGGAGAAGGAAATGGCAACTCACTCCAGTATTCTTGCCTGGAGCATCCCATGGAGTAGGTGACTCAGATGGTAAAGAATCTGCCTCCAATGCAGGAGACCCAGGTTCGATCCCTGGGTTGGGAAGATCCCCTGGAGAAGGAAATGGCAACCCACTCCACTATTCTTGCCTGGAGAATCCCATGGACAGAGGAGCCTGGCGGGGCTCCAGTCCCTGGGGTCCCACAGAGTCAGACACAAGTGAGCGACTTAGCACTCACTCCCAGAAGCTTTCTGCTTTCAGCTTGATAACAGAAACTCCGAGGAGCCTCTTTTAAATCGCTGCATCTGTGGAATCTCAATTATCTCCAGCTTAAAATAACCTTCACAGCCCTCCTGGGATTCCCAGGGGGGTCTCGAGTTGGCGGACAAAGCCGAAAAGACAGGCACTTACATCTCTCCTTTGCTCTCTCTTTACAGGGCAGCTTTTCTAAGAGAGAACCCGTAAGTATGTCTTCTTTCTCTGCTGCATCTGTGTTTGAATCACAGATGCTCAGAGTCCCGCCCTCGGCAGGCAGGGCGCTCAGCTCGGCCCTGGGTCCCTCCGTCCCTGCGTTCCGGGGTCACCAGGCTCTGGGGGCCGATGGAGAAGTTGTAGTTTCCCAGACGCCTCTGACTCAGCTCAGGCAGCCTGTCGTCAGCCTCCTCGTGGACGGAATAGCATCGTGGTCCCAAATGGGCCTCCTTGCTCCTGAGTCCACACTGTGGTGAGCTCAAAGGGTCCCCCGAGAAGTCAGGTCCGCCTAGAACTGCACTACAGGACTTTATTCGGAAACGGGGTCTCTGCAGAGGTGACAGAGTGACGGGTCTGAGAGGAGGCCCTCCTGGACGGGGGTGGCCCTAAACCCAGGGACAGGTCCTTATAAGACACACAAGAGGAGAGACACGGACACAGAGGAGAAGCCACGTGGAGACGGAGGCGGGGACAGGAGGGAGGCGGCCACCGGCCCAGGGACGGACGCCTGGAGCCCCCGGAAGCTGGAAGAGGCGGGGAGGACCCTCCCCTGGAGACTCTGCAGGGAGCTCGGCCCCAGATCCTTGAGGCCACCGGGCACCCCAGGCCAGGCCCCCCGTTCCTCCCTGACCACCCAGCCTCTCCAGACGCGCAGGTCCCAGGAGAGCCCCAGGGGGCACCCAGGGACTGCCATGCTCTGACCCCCAGCCGCAGGAAAAGGACTGTCCGGTGTCCGCGTGTGGGTGAGGCGTCCACGGGCGTCCGAGCCTGGCTGTGCCCTGCACGTTCCTGCCCTATCCCGGATCCTGTGTGTAGAATCCTTTCATTTTTCTTCAACAGTTTTTTTTTTTTAAGTATTTTTATTTATTTATCTTGGCTGTACTGCAAGGCATGCGGGATCTTAGTTCTCAGGCCAGGGACTGAACCTGCACCCCAGCAGTGGAAGTGCAGCGTCTTAACGACTGGACCACCAGGAAGTCACCCCTCTGTGTAGACTCAGAATAACCGCAAGCCCATGTCCTGAGGGCACGGGGACCCTGCAGGAGGCACGGACGCAGACGGGCAGCCGAGAGCCCTGACTGTTGTTCAGTCGCTAAGTCGTGTCCGACTCTTTGCGACCCCATGGACCGCAGCACGCCAGGCCTCCCTGTCCATCAACAACTCCGGGAGCTTGTTCAAACTCACGTCCATCAAGTCGGTGATACCACCCAACCATTTGATCCTCTGTCGTCCCCTTCTCCTCCTGCCTTCAATCTTTCCCAGCATCAGAGTCTTTTCCAATGAGTCAGCTCTTCGCATGAGGTGGCCAAAGTATTGGAGTTTCAGCTTCAGCATCAGTCCTTCCAATGAACACCCGGGACTGATCTCCTTTAGGATGGACTTGTTGAATCTCCTTGCAGTCCATGGGACTCTCAAGGGTCTTCTCCAACACCACAGTTCAAAAGCATCAGTTCTTTGGTGCTCAGCTTTCTTTATAGTCCAACCCTCACATCCATACATGACCACTGGAATAACCATAGCCTTGACTAGAGAGACCTTTTGTTGGCAACGTGATATCTCCACTTTCTAATATGCTGTCTAGGTTGGTCATAATTTCCCTTCCAAGGAGTAAGCGTCTTTTTATTTCATGGCTGTGGTCACCATCTGCAGTGATTTTGGACCCAAGAAAATAAAGTCTGCCACTGTTTCCATTTTCTAAGCACCTGTTTGCCATGAAGTGATGGGAGCTGGCAAAGTTTGCCTGGATGCGAGCTGGCAAAGCCCCTTCAGGCCCCCACAGTGGGCTGGGAGGGATGGACCAGAGGCGGCAGGTCCGCTGTGCCCCCCAGCTGTCAGGGGATGCACCCTCCGCCTTCTCCGTGTTTCCAGTCTGGTATTTGTGGCCGTCACACGGTCCTCTTTTCTTTCAAAGGTTTTTCTAAGCAGACAACATAAAAACGAGTACAGACTGCCCAGCTCTGACGTGAGAGGAGAGCACACAGTCCGCATGAGGGTGCAACACGTGCAGTTTCAAATCTGGAGTGAGTGGAGCTCCACGCACCGTTTCGGTGAGTCTCCCAGAAATACCCGGGGATGCTGACATGTGCCTGGAGGGGAATAGGAATGACCTTTCCTTTGTTGTCCAATCCTCCTTTTTTTTTTTTTTTTTTGACAGTTTCTCTTTCAAACCAGTTCACCTTCATTTTTGTTGTTCAGTTGCTCACACACACCTCTTTCTCTCACCCTTGACATTTCGCAATTACGCCTTCATTCCTTTGGCTATGCAGTGCAGAACTGAAAGTTAATATTCACCGACAAGGAAGGCATTGTGCACTATTAATTGTGCCTTTGTGGAAAAGTAACTGGTGCATCATCTTTTGAGAGTGGCAAGGGGGGAGGCGGGGAGATTTGTTGTTTAGTTGCTCAGTTGTGCCTGACTCTTTGTGACCCCGTGCACTGCGGCACGCCAGACTTCTCTGTCCTTCACTGTCTCCCGGAATTTGCTCAAACTCATGTCCATCGAGTCGTTGATGCCATCCAGCCATCTCATCCTCTGTCGTCCCCTTCTCCTCCCGCCCTCAGTCTTTCCCAGCATCAGGGTCTTTTCCAAGGAGTCAGTTCTTCGCATCAGGTGGCCAAAGGACTGGAGCTTCAGCTTCAGCGTCAGTCCTTCCAATGAACATTCAAGATTGATTTCCTTTAGGATGGACTGGTTGGGGACAGCAATACACAGTGTGGTGTGGTGGGCGCAGGATCCCAGAAGAATAGACTCTTTGGTGCCATCCTTCTCAAACCCCTGCGGTCCCTCTGTCTGGAAGCACCCCCCTCCTCCTCTCCAGCCCTGCTTCCCCCACCACAGCTCCCCCTGTCGCCCGATACCAGGGATGGGCGGGCAGGGCTGGTGTGTGCAAAGCGGATCGCCCAGTCACGCCTGACCCTCTGCGTGTCTGCCCGCCAGGCGTCCCCGAGAAGAATTTCCTGGTGGTCTCGATCGGGCTGGCGGTGGGGGCCGCGGTTTTGTTTGGCATGGCCGTGATGTTCCTCTGTAAAAGGTAAGACACATCCCCCCCTCCAAATAGGCTCAAAAACGGCATGTCAGAACCCACACATGAAAGAGCCCACGCCTGTCACCGCAGCCCCGTGGAGTGGCCAGAATCCCAGGCTCAGAATGCAGCGTGGGGTTGCTCACGGTGGAGGGGTTGGGAACACGGGGAAGGAGTGAACTTTAAAGAGAGGCTTCCAAGAGAGAGGTGAGGCCAGGTGTCTCTGCAGAGAAGACAAACCTGTGCCGAAGATGGGTCCCGAGCACGTGGCCGGGCCAAGCGAGCGCCCCACTTAGGCGCAGTCCCTGGCGTCACGATCCAGAAATGCCTCCCCGGGGACCCTGCAGGCTCAGCCGAGGCGGCGGTGGAGGCCGGCAACGGCCACAGCCGCCACACGGGGGCGGCAGCGAGCTGCACGCCCGTTTCCGAGCCCCGGTGTCTCAGCCTCCGAGGACCGAAGGCGGGAGGAGAAGGGGGCGACAGAGGATGAGAGGGTTGGATGGCATCAGCGGCTCCATGGACCTGAGTCTGAGCAAGCGCGGGGAGATGGTGATGGACAGGGAGGCCTGCCGTGCTGCGGTCCACGGGACCGCAATGAGTCAGGCGCCACGGAACTGAGGAACAGAGGGGTGGACTCTGGCCGAGGGGAGACCCGGACTAGGTGGCATCTACCTCAGCGGCAGACGCAGGCTCTGTCCCCTTCCCTGGCTGCGTCCTCACACCCGCGCAGGTGTACTGAAGGCCAGGTGACCGCCCCCCCGCCCACCCCCGCCCCGGAGTGTCCGGAGAACGGCCGCCCGTAGGAGACCCAGGGCAGAGGGCTGCAGCGGGCATACGGAGGGCAATTGAGGCCGTTCTCGTATCCACGCTGGATGTGTCTGGAGCGCTTCATTCACAAGGACCGGAATCAGTGATGGCGTGTCTCGGGGCGCTCATATAGAAGGCGGTCTGTGAGGACACACGGGGGCTTCCCAGGTGGGCCTAGTGGGAAAGAACCCACCTGCCACGGTAGGAGACGTAAGAGATGCGGGTTCGATCCCTGGGCGGGGGACGATCCCCTGCAGGAGGGCATGGCAGCCCACTCCAGTGTTCTTGCCTGGAGAATCCCGTGGACAGAGGAGCCTGGCGGGCCGCAGTCCTCTGGGTTGCAAAGAGTCGGATATGACTGAGCGCCTTAGCGGGCATGCACGCACGCACGCACGCACGCACGCAGGCGCATGCACGCACTCACAGACGCACGCAGGCGCACGCTCGCACGCAGGCGCATGCACGCACGCACAGACGCACGCACGCACGCACACGAGGACAGGGGCGTCCTGGAGGTGTTTGTATGGCATCCAGGAGGCTTTGGGGCCTTGGGGAGGGGATACTTGAGGGCGCTCAGAGGGGCTTGGGTCCCTGGAGGGTCTTGAGGTCACATGCTCGGCGAGTTTGCGCAGACAGGCTGGTGGGGTGTCTGGAGCCGGGCACGTCCCGGTCCTGAGGCCGCCTGCCTCTGGGTTTCTGCCCTGGCCGCAGCTAGGGGCCTGGGGTCCAGGGCGCCTCGCTCGCGGGGGACAGGGTCTCCTGTCTCGGCTGTCTGTCCTCGAGGGCCTGCCCCGCAGACGGGGTGTGGCGGGCAGCTCCGTCGGGCGGTGGTGAGCGGTCCCCAGGACGCCTGGCCTGCCTGCCCAGACCCATGGGGGCGCCCCGAGCACCGACCCCGCAGCTCGGGAAGGTGGCCAGTGCCAGCCACGTGGGCACTGGTCCTCACCGCGCCCCGGGCTAGGTGGGAGAGCTCTCGGGGCAGCGCGCTCACCCCTGAGGCTGGCCGCGCCACACGCAGAGCCGGCCTCACCACGGGGCCGGGGGCACTCGGACTGGCCAGGCCCCCCTCGCAGCTCTGAGGCTGGGCCGCAAGCGTCTCTCGTCTCTTCCCGCCAGGTTCTCCCTGAAGAAGAAGCTGTTTCCGCCCATCCCGCGGGTGAAGCAGGAACTCGCTGGCTCATTCCTGGCCAGCCTGGAGGTGAGCAAGGCCGCCTCCCCGGCGCCGCCTGGGCTCGGAGACGCGCTCGGAGACGCGGGGGGCGCAAGCGTGCTGGGGGTTGAAGCCTGGCTTGGGGTGGTCAGTGCGGCCAGGAGGGCAGGGCAGGGCAGGGGAGAGGAGTGTGGAAGGGTGGGCAGGGGGAGGGGGGCAGCGGGAGGGGAAGGGCCTAGGGGAGGGGGGAGGGGCCGAGGGCGAGGAGGGCATGGGGGGAGGGGAGCGTGGAAGGGGAGGGGAGGAGTGTGGAGGAGAGGGGAGGGGAGGGGCCGAGGTCGAGGAGGGCATGGGGGGAGTGTAGAGGGGAGGGGCCTAGGGCAGGGGAGGGGCCTATGACAGAGAGGGCGTGGAGGGGAGGGGCCTATGACAGGTCGTGGAGGGGAGGGGCCTAGGGGAAGGGAAGGGCTTAGGGCAGGAGAGGGGCGTGGAAGGCGGTGGGGAGGACAGGGGTCTGGGGCAAGGGAGAGGCCTAGCGCAGGGGAGGGGCGTGGAGGGGAGGGTTGGGGCGAGGACGGGAGGGGCGTGCTGGGCAGGGCCGAGGGCTCATGCAGCGGAGGGGACACGGGTGTCCAGCTGCCTGCACCCACAGCGGCCTCTGCAGCGAAGTAGAGAAAGCTAGGCAAGCCGATTCCGAGCGGCGAAACTGCAGGGCTAGGTTTTTGTCCCGGTCTGGGGTCGCCACGGAAACCGCGGTGCGCTCACCTTGGGCTCTTCCAGGAGTGGCATCTGCAAAGACATCTGCAAAGACCACATTTCCGATCCAGGCTCCCCATGTGCGCTCCTGGGTGAAAGTTGAATTTCGGCAGGAGGGCGCCTATGTGACCCAGGAGCTCCCCCCAACTCCCCACCCCGCGATGGCTGGAAGCAGGGAACCTCCCGGGAGCAGCTCTGCGCCCCTGACTTCATCTCCCCATCCGCCGCACGTACCTCTGTCCCCGTAAGAAAGCAGAGATGCCCCTAGAGCTCGGCCCGTGTTTTGAGCCCAAAGCCATTTCCCCAGGCAGCCTCCTCCCCGGAAGTCTCTGCTTCCAGTACCCCTGGGTTTCCTCGGTGGGGCCATTGACCCCAAAACAAGAGTTTTGCGTTTCTTGATCTGTGCGTGACCGTGGTTCACTGTGGCTAGCGCTGTTGGGATAATGAGATGAAGCCACAGATTGTCAGCCATCTGAGCCTCTCCCATGCTGACCTCACCCCTCTGCTGTGCACATGTGTGCATGCGTGTTAAGTTGCACCAGGTTCCTCTGTCCGTGGAATTCTCCGGACAAGAACACTGGAGTGAGTTGCCATGCCCTCCTCCAGGGGATCTTCCGCACCCAGGGATTGAACCCAGGTCTCCCGCATTGAAAGGCGGGTTCTTTACCACTAGCACCACCTGGGAAGCTTCCTGCCCTGCACAGGCGAACCCCAGGTCCTTCCAGTGTGCGGTGCTGTATGTGGGACTCAGTGGCTGGACATCAAGGGTCCTTGTTTCCTGGAGGGTGGAGTTGTGAACGTAACCACCCCCAGCCCTGACTCTCAGCCTCAGGCCAGCCATGATCACCCACTACCTAAACTGGGGAGTGACGCTCCCCAAGTTTTCAGTCAGCCACCCCCCTGGCTCCCCAGGGCACTGATCCCTCTGGTCACCTCTGTACTTGGGGTCTGGGCACACCAGCTGGGATGGGGCGTGGCGTCCACGAGAGGTAACGCCAAGACAGGGGAGGGTCTGTTTAAAATCGGGAACTGTCTCTCTGTGGTTCCCTGGGAGATGGCGAAGACCCATCCCTCCACCTGGGTTGCAAGCATCTCAGAGATGATTGTACGTCTGATGTGTTCCTTCTTTATAAAAAAAAATAATAAAACAGCGTTATTGAGATTTCACTCACATGCCGTAGAATACACCCATTAAAGTAACAATTTGGGGCATTTAGCAAGTTCCCAACGTTCTGCAGCCGTCAGCTTTGTCTGGATCCAGAACATTCTCATTGCCCCCGAGGACACCCTGTCTACATCACCAGTCACTTCTCCCCTGCCTCCCCCAGTCCCTGGCAACCACAAACCCATGTGCTGTCTCCGTGGATTTGCCTGTTCTGGACGTTTCCTATAAATGGAGTCACACACCGTGTATTCTTCTGTGTCTGCTTGTCTCACTGAGCATCGTGTGTTTGAGGTCCATCCATGTTGTAGCCCGTGTCATCATCCATTCATCGTCCATCATCCATCTGTCATCCATCCATTCACCCATCCATTCACCCATCCATCCATCATCTGTCCATCATCCGTCCATCCATCACCCATTCATCCTCCATCCATCCATCCATTATCCATCCATCCATCCACCATCCATCATCCATCCACCCATCCATCATTGATCATCTGTCCATCCATCTATCATCCATCCATCATCCATCCATCCATCCATCATGTATAATCCATCTCTCCATCCATCATCCACCCATCCATCCATCATCCACCCATCCATCCACTCACCCGTGAATGGACACGTGGACCCTTTCCATCCTCTGGCCATCATGAGTACCACTGACTGGGAGGACCAGGGACTCCAAAGCGTGGCCTCACCTGTGTGCTGTGTCCTCTCTTTTAGGAGACGGCCTCGTGTGGAGGCCACCCACCGCCAGCCTCCCAGGACCCCGAGGACATCTTCACCGTGGAGGAAACCCAGTCGTTGGCAAGCGGACCAGCGAAGATGGTAGGCCCAGCCCCAGACCCCGACCCTTATGAAAACATCCCTTCTGGGCGTCCTCTCCCCAGCCAGTGAGAGGACCCTGATCCGACTCGCCCGCCGCTCGCCGTCCGCTCCCACTGCCTCAGCCTCTGCTACGCCGTCCCCCCACTTCACCGCCCGCTGGCCACCGCTGCACACGCCTTTCCCAGCTGCGGGAGCGCCCCGCCACCAGCAGCCGTCGCCCAGATGTGCCCCGTCGGTGGGTGAGGGTCCTGGCAGAGTCTGGCTCACGCTCTGGTCCAGGTTCTCCCTGTGAAGATGGGCACCGAACTTGCCCGAAACAGCACAGATATGGGAATGAAGAAATAACGGGGTGTTCGGTCTCCATGGGTTCGGGAAGATGCCCCGGAGGAGGGCATGGCAACCCACTGCAGGATTCTTGCCTGGAGAATCCCAGGGACACAGGAGCCTGGCGGGCTGCAGTGCGTGGGGTCACAGAGTCGGACACGGCTAAAGCAAGTAAGCAACAAAAAAATGAACAACATACATGCTGGAGCCGTCCCGTATGGATAAGTACAGGACAGCATCAGCGTGGTCTCCCTTTCGGGGACGGGTTTCCCGTTAGACACTTCTGAACTGATCTGAAGTGAAGGGTGCCAGCCAACCAGATAACCTGGAAAGCGACGGAGGCCTTAAGAGAAAGTGAGCACGGTTCTCCCGATGAATCAGCTGGCCTCAGTCCGTTTTTCGAGCGACAGGAGCAGACACAGGATGAGGACGGAAGACGTCAGGTTGAGCACGATCCTCTTCCGTGGCTTCTATGGACAACGACACGGGGAAGCATCTCTCTGGGTTCCAACCTCGTCCAGGAGGGACCCATCTCCCGGGCACAGCTCTCTCACGCTCGGGCTGCCGGCCAGCGATGCTAGAAGCAGAGACACCCAGCTCCAACAGCGGGGCGCCCCCCCCACCCCCCGCACCCTGCTCTGATTTCCCGGAAACACCGTGAGCCGGTCTCAAGCCAAGGCTACGGAGAAACAGGTGTTTCGCAAGAGACGGCAGCCGCTGGTAAGATTTCATCACAAAGCTTCCGCGTTTGGGGTTGGCGCACCTCGCTCAGGAAGAGTGTCTTGTGAAATGCTTGCGGTATTTCGAGAAAATCGAGAAAGATGAGGTCTTGGAATCAGAGAGGGTGCCGGCTATCGCTGTGGCCGCGGAGCCTGCAGCCCCGAGATAAGCCGTGCGGTCACCCCAGCGGGTCTCCGGGGCGAGGTACCGCCTGTGATCACCGGGCGGGGGTGACTGCAGACGCCCCAGCTCCGGCCGGGAGTGGCCTGGACTCGCAGAGATCGGCTTCCCTTCCGGCCTCAGGTCCGGCTGACAATGGGCTTGGACCCCGGGACACGTTGACTGACAGGTATGAGTTTATGAGTAAGTTCAACATCAGAACCCAGGCATTCTGGTGGCCGGTGGTGAAGACTTTCCCTTCCAGTGCCCGGGGGCGTGGGTTTGATTTCTGGTCGGGGGCCTAAGATCCCGCATGCTTCCACACCAATAAAGCAGAACATAAAACAGAGCAGCATTGTAACAGACTGAATACAGGCTTTTAAAAATTGCTGTTACTGTTGACTCTCTCTCCATTATGTCTGACTCTTTGTGACCCCATGGACTGCAGCACGCCAGGCCTCCCTGTCCTTCACCAACTCCCGGAGTTTACTCAAATCCATGTCCATGGAGTCGGTGATGCCATCCAACCGTCTCATCCTCTGCCGTCCCCTTCTCCTCCCGCCTTCCATTTTTTCCCAGCATCAGGGTCTTTTCCAAAGAGTCAGTTCTTTGCATCAGGTGGCCAAAGGATTGGAGCTTCAGCTTCAGCATCGGTCCTTCCAGTGCAGCAGCAATAGGATTTACTGTCATGGGATTCATTGTCTTTTTTTTTTTTTTTTTTTTCTGTGAAACTGGTCCATATCCCTAAGAATACCATCATTGTTGGTGGCTGAGCACCTTTTTAGAAAAGCTATCGTTCATCTTGGGGAGTGGTGAACAAGTGAGAATTTGAGAAGCTCCGGGAGCAAACATTGGTTTAGGTGTTTTCTGATTCTCCTTCATTTTCTTTTTCCTTCTTCCAAGACATTTTCTATTTGTAAATGAAAATAATTTCAAAATAGGGCGGAGGGAAATTTTGCAGCAAAGATCTCGCTCTGCCGACAGGGAGCTGGGGAATCATAAGTGCCTCATGCCCAGAAGCAGGGCTTGGAGCACCGGGGGGGCTGGCGGGGGGAGAGGTGTGCAGGTTCCCGGAGGTCACAGAGGGCAAACCTGGAGGATCAAAGAGCAAGGAGTGCCCCCCGCCACCCACCACCCCCAACACACACACACACACACACACACACACACGAGGAAGATGGCTTGGCCACTGCTGCTGGAAGTGTTATTTGGCAGATAAATTAATCAGGGAAGCCCCTCGTCTCGGGGGAATCCCCCTGGCGACTGTTGGGGAGATACAAAGTGAGAGTATCTCCTGCCATCTCAGTAAGAAAGAAACATCTCGGCCCGCAGCGAGTTCTGGGCTGCAGAAACTTAGATCCGCTGCTCCCTGTGGTGATGGCCCCGGGGGCTGTGGGCCGGGGGATGCAAGAATCAGACATCTGTCACTCCTGAAGCTGAACAAGGGGACAGCGTTGGCCCCAGACAGCTGAGATGCACGTGAATGGAATGACCTTGGTGAGCCCAGAGGCTTGCACCTTCCCGTACGTAGACCCATCGGTTTGTTAACTCGATATCTGATCTTTCATGTCTAAACTGCCTGCTCCCCAAAATTGTGTACGGCTTGACTCCCCCTCCTGCCTCCTTGGAGCAGTTTTCTCAGAGTTCCTAAGATGCTGTCTCCCGAGGCTCGGAGTCCTAAACATGCCGGAATAGAAACTACTGTACTTCCAGGTCGTGACTGTATTTTTATTTTTGTTTTTTTTTGGTAGTTGACAGAGAGCAGGCCGGCCTGACTCCCAACGACAAGGCCAGCCGTACGTGTTCTGGTCTGCGTTCTGGGCACGTGGTCCCCACCAGAGGATGAGTGGGAGGGGGTTTTAGGGGCTGTGTTTCTGGGAACACAGAGGGAGACCCCTCCCCACCTCCCACCCTGGAAACTGACCCACCGGTCCAACATCTGCATGGACGCTCAGAACCTCCCGTCTGCCCGGGATCCCAGAGAGAGAGAGAAAGCTGTCGTCCAGTCCCCGATGGCCATGTGGCCTTGGGCTGATGTCCGTCACCCACGGGGCCACGGGCTTCCCAGGATCCTCCCATTAGAGGAAACACTCAGGGCGAAACCGCCGGCCCTGATGGGGCGCCCTGGTGACCGTGTGCCTAAGTTATTTTTATATGGCAAGAGATCCTGAGAAGGGAAACGGAACTGACGGCTGCGCAACGCGTGCGCCACCGGGAAGGACCCCGATTCAGAGCGATTGGCTGGAGGGAACCTGGAAACGGCGCTCTCGGCGGCTGCCCTCCCCGACGCGACGGACGCGAGCCTGAGCAGGCTCCGGGGGTCGGTGATGGACGGGCAGGCCCGGCCTGCTGCGCGGTCCACGGGGCCGCAGAGAGTCGGACACGCCCGAGCGACCGAACCACCAAGCTCATCGGCATCAAAGCCAGGACCGCGGAGCCACGGCGCAGAGTCGTCACCCTGGGTTCCCTTACCCCGGTGCTCCCTGCCCGGGGTGGGGGGGGACCCCTTTTCCAATGAAACCTCTTGCTTTCTCAGCACGTGTCTCCCCTCTGACGGTTCGTTTCCGAGCATCCGACGAGAGAGCGGAGAAGGGGTCCCCCCACCCGCTTCCTGCACCGTGGCCCGTCCGCCCTGCTGGCCGCGCCCTCGGGAGGCGGGGGCTGAGGGGAAGGCACCGCGGTCGAGAAGCCGCGGTTCTGGCCTCTCTCCCGGCCCAGCTGCTCGGGGCCCTGGGCTCCCCAGGCCTGCTCGCGGTTCCCCGTTTCTGTTCCTCGCGGACCCCGCCCCGCGAGGGCCGGTTCCGGCCTCACGGTGGATAAGCGCATCCATCTCTGGCACTCCTGGTTCTGTGCCGGCTTTTCTGAAGCTGGTCAGTGGTGGTCGCAGGGCACGAGAAGCAGAGAGGAAACAGGTGATGGAGGGGCTAGTGGGGGGGGGGGGGGAAGGCAGGTGGGGATGGAGCCAGGGTCCCCGGAGCCGGGGACCCACGGGTCTGCGATGCTGGGGAGGCTCAGGGCCCAGCACGCACGTGCCCACAAGCCTCTGTGCCTCAGGGCCAGATGCCGAGCCTGCTCCCACTTTGTGGGGATGCCGGCGGGGCTGTGAGCAGACCTCGGGGTGCAGAGTTCCTGAAGCAGGCTTGGCGCTGGCAGCCCTCCTCACGGCACGTCCAGGCTTCCCTGGAGGCTCAGATGGTAAAGAATCTGCCTGCCGCGCGGGAGACCCGGGTTCGACCCCTGGGTGGGGGAGAATCTGCCTGCCGCGCGGGAGACCCGGGTTCGACCCCTGGGTGGGGGAGATCCCCTGCAGGAGGACACGGCAACCCACTCCAGAATTCTTGCCTGGAGAATCCCATGGACAGAGGAGCCTGGTGGGCTACAGCCCACGGGGAACAGAAAGAGTCGGACACTACTGAGCGACTGCACAACAGTGATGACTGTGGGACTATGCCCCGTTACATTGTCCAAATAAAACACGCCTTATTTTTTTTAAAAGAAAAAGGGAAAGAAAGAAAACAAATGAAAACAGAAAACAGAGGGGGAAAGAACAAAGAAAGGGGAGAAAAGAAATAATGATAAGACAGAAAAGAAAGAACGGAAAGACAGAAAGGAAGAAAGAAAAGATCATGGAAAAAAGAAAGGGAAATAAGATAGAAAGGAACGATGGAGAGACAGAAAGAAAGGAAGCAAGGAAGAAAAGCAGGAAAAAAAAGAGAGCAAGGCGAAGGGTCGGGGAAAGGAAAAGAGGACGAAAGCAGCAAAGCCGGGCAGCCCCCATGAGGCCCCTCGGCGCTGACGCTGGAATTCGGGAACGTCTGCGTCTGCACGCCCAGTGCTGGCAGCCTTCTCCGTGGCGGCCACACCTTCTCATCAGAGCCTGGGACGGCAGGAGGGCCAGCCAGCGTGTGTCATAACCGTGGGGCCAGCTCCGAGGTCAGCGTGGCCTCCTGATCTCCGCGGGCCCCCGCCACCCCCGCTTCTGCAGAAATTGCCTGGTTCCTACCCCACCCCATTCCCCCAAACCCAGCGTCGGGGTGCAGGGTGGACACGCTGCCTGGAAAGAGGTCCGCCCGGGCTCAGCGCCATCCGCTCTGGACTGACTGCGACCCCTCACTTGGGTCATCTGTCCACCTCCTCCATCTCCCTGGAAACCCCCCTCCACCCAGCTCCTCATCATCCTGCTTCCGTCCTAGACCAAGAGGGGCTGGAGACGAGAGGCGGTTGTTGTCCATCGGGCATTCTGGAATCTCCCCAGCGCTTAGCAAGACAGTCATCACCCCTGAGTGGGATGAAGGAACCATCTGGAGGGGGGCGGGACACAGGCTTTCATCTCCTGGAGGGGTACTCGGGAACCAAGACTCCTGCTCTGTGGCAGGCAGGCGGCCGTCACAGAGGACTCCACGCTGGACGGCTGCAATCCACAGGAAACCATCCTCTCCCGAAGTCCTGGGGACCACATGTCTGAGGTCCTGGGGTCCCAGGACGGTTCAAGGGGTCCCAGGACTGAGCTCCCTCCAGGAAGCCTCCAGGGGAGAGTCCTCCCCGCCTCTCCCAGCTCCTGGGGGCTCCAGGCGTCCGTCCCTGGGCGGGTGCCCCCCCCCCCATCTCTGCCTTCATCCGCAAGCGGCCGTATCCTCTACCTGCCCGTGTACGAGGGGCCGTCTGCTCAGAAGCGCGGCGGCCCTGTGGGGCATGGGGACCGCCCTGTCCCAGCTGGCCTGTGTGTCACCCGCATCCTTACCCCTGCGAGAGAGCCCTGCTTCCACAAGAGGTCAGGCTCTGAGGTTCCAGGTGGGCGTGCAAGGCTTAGGCGGGCGGAAAGTAGACAGGAGACAGGGACGCAGAAGGGACTTCCCGGCCCATGGCATCAGGCCCGCTCTGATGGGGTGGAGCCCTGTCAGAATCTGCTCTGCATCCCAGGTAAGATCCCCCCGACCCCCGACACACACCCACCCACCCACGAGGTGGGGAAGGCAGACGGCTGTCCCTGGAGACGCAGTCCTGAACACCACCTCCTGGGGGACACCGGGATTTGGCACGCATCTCGCGGCCGCTGAGAGGTGCCGCCCGGGAGGACGGACTGGCGAGTGGGGCTGGAACCCAGGAGCTGTGACAGACACATGGATGGCTGACCCATGCTGAGTGAGGGCAAGGAGGAGGCTCCGGGCGCCAGGAAGTCAGAGACGTCCTGGTGGGCGTTCCGGGCTGAAACGTGAATGTGGCAGACTGAGACTCAGGCAGCCAGCACATGGGCGTACCCGGGGTCACCTCCCTGTCCCCGCAGGCACGAGGGGTCACTCCCACGGGTACCTCGACAAATGGGGGGGGTGTCCAGGCATCCAGGCCCCCCCAGACATTCATTCCGGCTGGCTCCAGGAAATTGCCCAACTCCAAGGTGGAGGGGTGGGCAGCCACCGGGGTCCTGACAAAGCAGAAGCGGCAAAGCAGAAGTGAGAACAGGAAAAGAAATACTTTGAAAGAGAGAGTGTTTCTTCCAGGAAAAACCCGGAACCTTGGCCAGGGTCCTGACCCCCAGATTATGACTGTGACTCGCGGGCTGCGGAGGAGGGGCGGGATGCCAGCCGGACTCGGTCACATCCTCATGGGGCTGATGAGCTTTACTTTTCTTTTCTTCTGATGGGGTGGAGCCGCCCCCTCTGCCCTCCCTGCCCTCCCCCCACCCCCACCCGCTGGAGGCTATAACAACGTTAAACGGGGGAGAAGAAAAAAACACACACGCAAGTTTTGTTTCTCGTTCAGGAAGCGGACTGCATCACACGGCCGGGAACTCGAGCCCAGGATCCACCGCCAGGCCAGCAGGACGGGCGCCAAGCGGGGCCCGCCTGGCTCCCACTGACGTCGGACTCTGCTCTGCATCCCAGGTAAGACCCCCCCACACACACCCCTCACCAAGAGGTGGGGAAGGCAGACAGCTGCCCCTGGAGACTCAGTCATGAGCGCCGCCTCCTGGGAGACACCGGGATTCAGAGCACATCTCATGGCCGCTGAGATGTGTCATCCGGAGTCCACCACAGGCCGGATCCAAAGACGTTATGCCCAAGAAGCAAGGATGGAGGGTCTAACTAACCAACGCAGGTGAGGCAGATCCGAGCCCTGGGTCGGGAAGATCCCCCGGAGGAGGGCATGGCAACCCGCTCCAGTGTCCTCGCCTGGAGGGTCCCACAGCCACGGGAGCCTGGCGGCGCTTCAGGCCGTGGAGTCGCAGAGAGTCGGACGCGACTGAGAACAGGACAGGGCGCTGCTCTCACCCTGGTGCGAGCCTGGGTGTGTGGTGTGTCTTCGCCGGTTCTGTGTTTCGTGCTGGGTCTTATGCTTGAATGAATGAGCTGGTCGGAGTGGCCTTCCCAGGACGAGAGGCCCCCGGTAACCAGAGTGCCCAGCAACTCTTTCTGGCTCAAACTCCTGCCACCTCCAACCCAGGCAAGGCGGGGCTGCTAATGTCGAGAGCCCCACCGTCTCCCCCTTCCAACTCTGCGGACCCCGGCTCCAGCCCCTGGGGGCCCAGGTCTGTCCATACAGGCCCTGTCCCTTTGTCCTTTGGGGTCAGCCGCAGATGATGACCGCGTTCATGCTATTTGGGTCTTTAAAGATGGGGGCATCTCCAGGCGAGGAGGGAAGCCTGTGGGTGGACGCGAATGTCACGGGGCTGGAGCCCTGTGTACGCCGCGGTGGGGTGGGGTGGGGCGGGGTGGGGGCGCTCAGCTCACCTGAGCACAAGCCAGGAGCGCACCACCGCCCTCCCAGGGACGTCCCCGAGGGCTGTCTGTGTAGACGAAGATGAGCCCCACGCTCTCCTCTTTGGACGGTGATGAGTGAGAGTCGCCCAGTCGTGTCCGGCTCTTTGTGACCCCATGGGCCATACAGCCCATGGGATTCTCCAGGCCACAATACTAGCGTGGGTTGCCGTTCCCTTCTCCAGGGGAATCTTCCTGACCCAGAGATCAAACCCAAGGCTCCCGCACTGCAGGCAAATTCTTTACCAGCTGAGCCACCAGGGCAACCCAGCAATAGTGGAGTGGGCAGCTCTTCCCTTCTCCGGGGCATCTTCCTGATGATCCAGGGATCGAACCCAGGTCTCCCACACTGCAGGCAGATTCTTTACCAGCTGAGGCACCAGGAAAGCAACCTCATCTGACACTTGTTCACTGTTCGGATTTTGTTTTTTTTCTCCTCCCGTGAGCTTGCCACCTGGACCATTTGATGTCATTCAGTCGTGTCCGACTCTTTGCGACCCCATGGGCTGTGGCCCTGCCAGGCTCCTCTGTCCATGGGATTCTCCCAGGCAAGAAGGCTGGAGTGGGTTGCCATTCCGTCCTCCAGGGGAATTTTCCCGAGTCAGGGATCGAACCTGCGTCTCCCACACGGGCAGGCAGATTCTTTATCGCTGAGCCACTGAGCCAGAATGCTTGTGGGCAGGGTGTTGGGCTGTCCTGGATTGCGACGCTGGGATTGGAGGCAGCCTCCTCTCAAACTCAAGTGTTAGGAGGCGGCTGATGCCTCAACCTCCACACCCTGATCCTTGTACTTCACTTGGATTGCCAGGCGTCCGTCCCTGAATACCTCCCCATGATACCAAGTCTTGGGGCTTCCCTGTTGACCTGTCCTGAGACGGAGTCTCTCCGGGCTTCCCCCCCAAGTTCAGCAAGAACTACAACAGGAGTCAGCCTCTGGGGTCAAATGTGTGTGAAAGCTGGCACTTTGCGGGGGGTGGGGGGCGCGCGGGTGCAGAGGTGAGTCCTGGGGAGACTCGTGGGAGCCCCGGAGCGCGCTGGGAGAGCAGGCAAGGTCCTGGATGGCTGGAGTCTGGGCTGGGTGTCGTGATAGAGCAGCTGAGAAGGCCCTGAAGGATGGGGGGGGAAGAGTCCCCGCCCCTCCTCTTCAGTTCCAGGCTAGATTCTTGAGGTGCGCTGCCCTCAGGGGGGGTACATTTGCGGGAGCAATCCTGAGGCCCTGGTGAGGGGCGGCCCCCCCGTCAGGGGAGCGTCCGAGGCTCCATCTGTGTAGCCGTCCCCCACTGGCCCACAGGCGCCGATGGTGTTTGCGTGAGTGATTCAGTCAGATGGGGAGGGGTGGGTGGGCTCCACCAGGAGACCCCCACGGCTGGTGCCCAGGAGGTGAGGAAAGCGAACCCCCCACCCTGGGGAAGGTTCAGGAGAGCCGGCCTGCTGAGGGGGGTGCTTCATGCGGACCCCAGGGGGAAAAATTCTGGTGGGGGTGGTGCCCATTACCGTAACTTGGTCTGAGCAGGAAAGTGAGTCCGTGTTGATTTCATACGTTTAATTGCACTTCCTTCCACTGTTTGTGAGCCTAGCATCTCCCGGTGCCGCCTGGAAGGTGCTTTCTGGGCTCCTCTGTGGGGTGGTGGCAAGTGCGATTTATAACCCAGGGCGGGAGCGCTGTAGAGACAGGGTGATACACATGTAGGCATACAGACATACAGGCGCACACATGTGGACATGTATGCACACACACAAACACATGTAATATGTGCACACAGATGCAGACAGATAACATATCCATTCACAGCACACACATACAAGCACATGCACACAGACACACAAAACACATGTGTGCACACAGATACATATCCATACACAGCACACACAAACACATGCACACAGACACACAAACATGTGTAATGTGTGCACACAGATACACACAGATACATATCCATACCCAGCACACACATATGAACACATGGACACAGACACACCAACATGTGTAATGTGTGCACACAGATACACACAGATACATATGCATACCCAGCACACACAGACACGTGTGCACACATGCAGATATGCATGCACATTTCCACACATAGATACACAAACACATGAGTCAGGTGTTCACACAGATACCCACAGATGCATGTAAGACCCACAGAGACACATGTGTGTGCACATGTCAGACCTGCATGTGTGCATGCACACACCATGTGCACACCGATGCACACATATACATACATGCCATGCACACATGTAAACACAGGCAATGTGTGCTCACATGCATGTATAGACATAGGCATGTAGTTTGCACAGATACATACACAAGACATGTACATAGGGGCACACGTGCACACAGACATATTCCCAGAGATACACACATCCACATATATGCATGCACAGTCAAATAAACACAAGTAATATGTGCACACATCCATACATATGCACAGACGTACAGTGTACACAGGTGCATATACAAGACACATGTACACACATGTGCATATACACACATGTACACAGACATATACAGACATACACGTGCACATATATGCACTCGGTGAACATATAAACATGTGCATACACATGCACACCTAGGCATGCGGTATACACAGATACACACATAGGTAACATGCACACTCAGTGCACACACATGCATATACACACATGCACACAGATATATACAGACACATGCATGCACATATATGCACACTCGGTGAATATATAAACACGTGCATACACACGCACACATAGGCATGCGGTATACACAGACACACACAGGTACACACATGCACACTCAGTGCACACACATGCATATACACACATGTGCACACATGCACACGCACAGGAGGCTCCCCTCCCGAAGCGGCTCTCTGCCCTTCCGGCAGGACACACCGGAGGGTTCGGCCCCCTCCCGCCCCCTCCCCCAGCCGTCCCCCGCAGCCGCCCCACTGGTCACTGTGTCTCCTCCTCCAGCTGACGCCCGCCCTCCTGTGGGAACTGCCTCGCCCATGGCCCTCCTCTGGCTGGCCGTGCTCCTGACACTCATCTGCCACTCAATGACCACGGACCACGGTAGGAAAAGCCGGGGGTGGGGGGGAACAGCCCCATGCGGTGTGCTGGGGTCCCTGGGGCTGTGCTGCGTTTCAGTTAAACGGCCGGTGCTGGGGTCACGGCCGAGCCGCTTGGCCACAGAAGGAGATAATCAGGCGCTTCCCATGTGGCCCTCTTCTCAGCCGCCTTGGCGGGTGCGCCTTGCAAAACTCGGACCTCAGAGCCAGAATGATCATGCTGATACGGTCACGAGGCTACAGCCAGAGTGGCTGGCGTAGCTGGGGCGCCAGGATCCATCTCTCATCTTCGATTTCCTGTCATCCTTTTCCTGGATTGGGAGACGTCCGTGGGGAAATGAAGGAGATGGGCTGAGCTCTGTCCTCAGCAAATGCATGTGCTCAAGTCTTAACCAACAGAACCCCAGAGGGGAGTTGTTTGGAAATAGTCTTTATACATGCTCTATATTATTATTATTATTATTATTGTTATTATTATTATTATTATTATTATTATTATTATTATTATTTGACTGTGCTGGCTCTTTGTTTCAGCACATGGGCTTTTCTCTAATTCGGCGAGCAGGGGGCCTTCTCTCTAGTTGCAGTGTCCAGACTTCTCATTGCAGTGGCTTCTGTTCTTGTGGATCACGGGCTCTAGGGCATGGATTAAAGGACAGAGTTTGGGACTTCCCTGGCCATCCAGTGGTTAAGACTTTGCCTTCTGATGAAGAGGACGCAGGTTTGATCCCTGGTCGGGGAGGTAGGATTTTTGGCCACAAGGCCCAAAATCCAAAACATAAAATGGAAGCAATATTGTAACAAATTCAATAAAGACCTAAAAACTGGTCCACATGAACAAAGAGAATGAAAAAAAAAATGATGCTTTGGGGGCAACCCCATCCTGTTCTTTTGACATTCCTCATGGAGATTTAAGGGAGGTGGGGGCCAGACCAGGGTCTCAGGTTCCCAGGATCGTCACTGAAGATGGTGGTTAGTGAGGGGTTCACGAAACCATCGTGAGACTCCTCGGGGTTAACAGTCGATCAAGATGTGAGAACGGGTGATGGAGATTGTCACACCACGCACCCGTCTCTGACCATCTGGCTGATTTTGGCTGGCAGTTGTGGCTGACGGAGACCATTCAGAGTGGGGGTTGGGGGGCTAGCCAGCTGCTGCAGGAGAGGTCCCCCGGGGGACACCCACGCCTTCAGCTGCCCCAGGTACAGAGATTGTACGTTGCTTTGGCTGCAAGCCCAGGGATGCTGGTGGGATTCAAGGAGACACGGTGCCCACCAGGCATGCGTGTGCCCTGGGGAGGGTCTGCAGTGGAAGCGCATCCCGTGCAGACTTCTCTGGCTGATCAGCAGACCCTGCACAGGGGCCGAGGGGGCCACGTCCACCTCAGCCTCCTGTCTGACCCCCACCGTATGCGGGCGGGGACCAGGCTTTGGGGGACCAGGCTTTGGGCGACAGACAGGAGCAGAGCCAGGCCAGCTGCTCAGCACAGATGCTCTGTGATTGCGCCAGACAGGGTGACCTGCCTGTGGTGACAGCCACGATGTTGCATAACCGGGAGAGGTTTGTTCCTTCTGCAAATGGTTGTGGAATGAAGGTGGTGTGTGCGGCTGTGTACATGTGTGTGTGTGTGTCTCTCCCCGTGTGTGCATATGTGTGTACATACATAAACACGCACCCATACATGTATGTGCATGTTGTGTGTATACATGTGTGTACATATGGATGTGTGTGTGTGTTTGTTGTCTGTATGTATCTGTGTGTATGTGTCTCTCTCTGTGTGCATATGTGTGTACATTCGTATACATCCACCCATACATGTGTGTGTATTGTGTGTATACATGTGTGTATGTGTGTGCCTGTATATATGGATGTGCGAGTTTATGTTTGTATCCATCTGTGTGTCTGCATGTGTGTACATGTGTGTATTCACATATACACCTACCCCATACATGTATGTGTATGTTGTGTGTATGCATGTGTGTATGTGTGTGCCTGTATATGTGGATGTGTGTATGTGTTTGTTTGTATGCATCTGTGTGTCTGTGTGTCTGCATGTGTGTACACACATATACCTACCCCATACATGTATGTGTATGTTTTGTGTATACATGTGTGTATGTGTGTGCCTGTATATATGGATGTGTATGTCTGTTTGTCCGTATGTATCTGTGTGTCTGCATGTGTGTACATGTGTGTATACACATATACACCTACCCCATACATGTATGTGTGTGTTGTGTGTATACATGTGTGTATGTGTGTGTCTGTATATATGGATGTGTGTATGTGTTTATGTTTGTATGCATCTGTGTGTCTGCATGTGTGTACATGTGTGTAGTGTGTATGTGTCTCTATGGGCACGTGCATGTATGGATGTGTGTGTGCTAAGGTGTTCATGTGTGTTGTGTGTGTGCATGCATGCATGCAGGCATATAGGTGTATGTGTGTGCATGTGTGTGCTGTATATGTATGTGTTTGCATGTGTCTGTATACATGTGTGTACATGTGTGTGCATATATGTGTATACGTGTATGTATACATATATGCGTGTGTGTGTATACGTGTATGTGTGTATGTGTGTGTTGGGGGCCTGTGTCTCCCTAGGGGCTACTGACTTATGCAGCTTTGTGTTGCCTTAATAAAATACCGTAGTCTGGAGGATTAAGTGACAGATTTATTTATCATAGCCCTGGAGACCAGACGTCTGAGGTCAGGGTGTCCCAGGGCTGAGCTCCCTGCAGAGGCTCCAGGGGAGGGTCCTTCCCACTTCTTCCAGCTTATGGGGGCTCCGGGCATCCATCCCTGGGCCAGTGGCCGCCTCCCTCCCGTCTCTGCCTCTGTCTCCACGTGGCTTCTCCTCTGTGTCCGTGTCTCCACTCTTCCATGTCTTACAAGGACCAGTCATGGGGTTTAGGGCCACCCCCACCCAGGAGGAAGCTCATCTCAGACCCTTCACTCCATCTCAGCTGCAGAGACCCTATTTCCAGAGAAGGTCTGATTCTCAGGTCCTGCAAGTTAGGCCTTCAGTATGGTTTGTGGGGGAGCATGGAGAGAGACCAGCGCTCATTCCACCCCAGCTGGCTCCATCACCTCGGAGGAGGAGTGTGTAGAGGCCTCCCAGGGAGGTTTTACAGGGGCCGCAACTGCAGGGACCACAGGTTGCTTCTGTCCGTCTCTTGGTGCTGAAATCAGTCCCGAGACTGCAGCTGGTGACCCGAGGGGCTGGGAGATGCAGGAGCTCTAGAGGGGAGGGGGCTTCCTTCACGTCTCGGGATGCCGCCCCCCAGCAAGTCCTGCCTCTTGTCTGCCCCCACTGTTCTGGGGCGCGAGGCTGCCGCCACCTCTGGGATCACATCAGGCCCGTGGGTGAGGAGGGGTCACTGACCACAGACAGGAAGTGACCTCCTCTCGAGGAGACAGTGAAGGAAGCGGGCTGCAGGCTGCAACATTATAACGACCCACCCTTCAGGCCCTCCTAAAAATACAACCTTGGTGGAACTGCATTAGAGGGGCTGTGGGTACAGGAGACATAGGAAGAGAAGGAAGCCCTGAGACCGCACACATGTTCGTGTTGAGTCATACGGAGAAGTGGTTCGTCTGTCACCACCGAGTCTTAATTAGCGCATGGATTTTTCATAGCTTTATCTAGGGGAAGGACGTGTTCTTCCATTTCTAGTTTGCTGAGAGCTTTTAATCTTCACAGGTGTTAAAATGCTGTTGAAATATTCAGAAAAGAAAAATACAAGTTGGGACTTCCCTGGGGGTCTACTGATGAAGACTCCGTGGTTCCAGTGTAAGGGACATGGGTTTGATCCCTGCTCTGGGTCCGAACGTTCTGCATGCCATGTGGTGTGGCCAGAGGAGAAACAATAAGTGAAAAAAATGTCAAAACACTTCCTGCTCCTGACAAGGAGATGGTCACTTTTCTGTTAGAAAGGGTGAATTATAGGGATGGTTAAAATAAACTTGCATTCTTAGAGTAAGTGTCTTGGGTCAAGAGGTCTTACCAGGTTTATATGTTGCCCTATTTTATGTACTCACATTTTGTAAAGGAATTTGTATCTATGTGATAAGGCATATTGGTCTCTAGTTTCAGTTCAGCCCAGTCTCTCAGTCTTGTCTGACTCTTTGCGACCCCATGGACTGCAGCACGCCAGGCTTCCCTGTCCATCACCATCTCCGGGAGCTTGCTAAAACTCATGTCCCCCGAGTCGGTGATGCCATCCAACCATCTCATCTTCTGTCATCCCCTCCTCCTCCTGCCTTCAATCTTTCCCAGCATCAGGGTCTTTTCAAATGAGTCAGTTCTTCGCATGAGGTGGCCAAAGTCCTGGAGTTTCAGCTTCAGCATCAGTCCTTCCAATGAACAGCCAGGACTGATCTCCCCTAGGATGGACTGGTTGGATCTCCTTGCAGTCCAAGGGGCTCTCAAGAGTCTTCTCCAACACCACAGTTCAAAAGCATCAATTCTTCGGCGCTCAGCTTTCTTTATAGTCCAACTCTCACATCCATGCATGACTACTGGAAACACTATAGCTTTGACTAGAGGGTCTCTAGTTTACTTTTATTATTATTCATTTATTATTATTATTTATTTTGGGCTTCCCTGTGGCTCAGACAGTAAAGAATCCGCCTGCAATGCAGGAGACCCAGGTTTGATCCCTGGGTCGGTCGGGAAGATCCCCTGGAGAAGGAACTAGCTACCTGCTCCAGTATTCTTGCCTGGAGAATCCCATGGACAGAGGAGCCTGGCACTGTAGTCCGTGGGGTCACAGAGTTGGACACGACTGAGTGACTGAACGGAACTGAACAGCTGTCTTAACAGACTTCTCTCTTACTTTCGTCGTCTGCCATTTATGGCGCAACTTCATTCTCGAATATTTATTTGGGTCTTAGTCGTGGCAGTTCGGTTTTGCTACACTTATGCCGTGTGGGCCCAGAGGCCCCGAAGCATGTGAGATCTTAGTTCCCTGACCAGGGATAGAACTCACATCCCCTCCACTGGAAGGCGGATCCTTAACCAGTGGACCACCAGGGAGGTCCCAACAGGACGATTTCTAAGCCCTGATGCTTCTGCTCACGGCCAACACATGACTGCCTCTCTGAGCGTCTAGTAACATTTTATCAGGTGCCATCCTGTAAAGGCTGGGTTGGGGAAGGTCTGCTTTGCTTGCCTTCTTTAAAGACGGTTGGGCTTTGCAGGTGGCCCAGCCATAAAGAATCCTCCTGCCAACGCTGGAGATGTAAGAGACGTGGGTCCCATCCCTGGGGTGGGAAGATGCCCTGGAGGAGGGTGTGGCAACCCACTCTAGTACTCTGGCCTGGAGAAGCCCATGGACAGAGGAGCCTGGCGGGCTGCAGTCCACGGGGTCGCAGAGAGTCGGACACGACCGAAGCGGCTTAGCATGCACGCACGCCGTGTTGCTTTCTGCCATAGAGCTAAGTGAATCAGCCACACGAACACAACTTTCTTCGACGTGTGTGGCTGAGAAAGGTACATTTCCTAACAACAAGGATGGGAGAGGTGACCTGCTTTCCTGAAGTTCCCCACTGCCCACCCCCCACCGTCGTTGGTGAGAAGGTGGGATCACTAAGATGCTACAAATTCTTGATTTTAAATTTGTATAGATTTGTGGTTGCTCCTGGCAACCACGTCTCCACCTAGAACTCAGCTTCCCAAAGGCTGACTCCGCAGAGACAGTTTAAGCGTTCTGTCTCTCTCTCCCACTGTGTAGCCATCTCCGATCCAGACCCACCGATTACGAACTTAAGGATAGATCCACAAAGACAAAGATTGGTCTGGGACCAGCATGGGAATGTTTCCGAAATTGGGTGTTACGTCAATTCAAAACTTTTAGCAAAGGTAAGCCGTCTTCCCTGGACTTAGCCTCACAGAGACATGGGTTCCACCCTTGGACCCAGGGGTCATTTATGGACACCAAGGCTCAAGAAATCCACAGTGGCACCTCCTGGACAGGATTGGTGTGAAAAGGGGCTGAGATACTGCAGCTGGACAGACAAGCCCAGTTGAAAGCGGTGTTGTTTTTCAGTTGCTCAGTCATGTCTGACTCTTTGCGACCCCATGAACCACAGCACGCCAGGCTTCCCCGTCCATCACCAACTCCCGGGGTTCGCTCAAACTCATGTCCATGGAGTCGGTGATGCCATCCGACCATCTCACCCTCTGTCGCCCCCTTCTCCTCCCGCCCGCAATCTTTCCCAGCATCAGGGTCTTTTCCAATGAGTTGGCTCTTCGCATCAGGTGGCCAAAGGATTGGAGCTTCAGCTTCAGTCCTTCCAATGAATATTCAGGACTGCTCTCCTTTAGGATGGACTGGTTGGATCTCCAGGGGGCTTGATTTTACTGTGAATAAATGGCTTCATGTTTCTCAGGCAAACGGGAAGCTCTATTGCAGTCTCGGTGACTTGTCATGTGAAGTAAAAAACTACACCGTGAAGGTGATGAATGGTCAACCGTTCTCTGCTTGGATTCAGTATCCGAAGCAAGGTGAGGGGTAGACGCTCTCTTGGGGTTTCGTTTGCTTTTGATCACCCGTTAGCATTCTGAATAGCAAGATAATGACTTTTAACTTGGATGGATGGGTCTGTAGTGACGTAGCTTTGTGGGGAAAAGGCCATTTCTTGAGAGTCCCTTGGACTGCAAGGAGATCCAACCAGTGCATCCTATAGGACATCAGTCCCGAATGTTCATTGGAAAGACTGATGCTGAAGCAGAAACTCAAATCCTTTGACCACCTGATGCGAACAGCTGACTCACTGGAAAAGACCCTGATGCTGGGAAAGACTGAGGGCAGGAGGAGAAGGGGACGACAGAGGATGAGATGGTTGGATGGCATCACCAACTCGATGGACATGGGTTTGAGTAAGCTCCGGGAGTTAGGGATGGACAGGGAAGCCTCGAGGGCTGCAGTCCATGGGGTCGCAAAGAGTCGGACACGACTGAGTGACTGAACTGCACTGAACTCATGTTCAAATTCGTGTCCATTGAGTCCTTGAGGATTGACCGGTTAGCTCTCCTCGCCGTCCAAGTTAATGTCCGCTGTATAGCACAGTGACTCCGTGGTATATACGTATATTCTTTTGCATGACGGTTTTCCCCAGAGGAGTGGATTCATTTCCCCGTGGTCTACACAGTCGGACCCTGGTGTTGATGGAGGAGCTCACTTTCCCCCCTCCTCCCTCTTCTTTGCAAACCCCAAGGCAACCCCTGGGCGGCCGCGGACAACCTGACCTGCCGGGTGCACGACGTGGATCAGCTCAGCTGCAGCTGGGCGGTAGGCAAGGAGGCCCCGGAGAACGTGCAATACTACTTCTACTTGAAGCATTCCCTGTAGGTGTGACCTCGCGCTCCAACGGGGTCGGCCCCCAAGCCCCGCCCCCAAGCCCCAGGGGCGGGGCGGGGGTGGGGCTTCGGGGCAGGATGGGGCTTCAGGGGCGGGGCTTTGGGCGAGGCTGTAAGGGCGGGCCTTCAGGGCGGGGCTTCGGGGCGGGCCTTCAGGGCGGGGCGGGGCTTCCGGGTCTCCCCCTGACCTGGCCCCAAGCACCCGCTACCCCTCTAGGGAGACGTGGCCGTGTCCCAAGTACATGCAGAACCAGCAGGGCGTCAACGTCCAGTGCCATTTTGACAGCATCTCCCTTCAACCTCAACCTCAACGGAGCCAACCTCTGTTCCGTTTCCTGGTGAATGGTACCAGCGGTGGTTCCAAAATCCCCTGCCGCGAAACGCTTCATAGATTACAAGAAATTGGTGAGAAAACGTGAGACCCTTCTTCACGTGCCCCCCACCCCACCCCGGTTCCTTGGCTTTGCGATGCTAGTATCTTGTGGCGGAGGGTGGGGCAGGGTACCCCACCCTCGGAACCAAACGGTAACCCGAGGGTAACACCAAGGGTCTTTGCTTTCAAGACCCTTGTAACCAAATCCCTCAAGCTGGGGGGGGCATGTGTTACTCGGTCAGTCATGTCCAACTCTGCGACCCCGTGGACTGCAGCGTGCTAGGCCTCCCTGTCCATCGTCAAGTCCCCAAGTTTGTTCAAACTCATGTCCATCGAGTGGGTGATGCCATCCAACCGTCTCATCCTCTGTCGTCCCCTTCTCCTCCCGCCTTCAGTCTTTCCCAGCATCAGGGTCTTTCCCAGTGAGTCAGTTCTTTGCATCAGGTGGCCAAAGGATTGGAGTTTCAGCTTCAGCATCAGTCCTCCCAATGAATATCCAGGACAGGTTTCCATGGGCTCTAGGGCGCTTGGATTCCAGTCGTTGCAGCTCATGGGCTTGCTGGTTCTGGCTCCCCAGCTCCAGAGCACAGTCTTAATAGTTGTGGCCCACGGGCATAGCTGCTCCAGGGCATGTGGGATCTTCCTGGACCAGGGATTGAACTCCTGTCCTCTACACTGGCAGGTGGATTCGTATCTACTGGGTGGATCCACAGGGAAGGAAGTCCTAGGAGGCCTGTTTTGAAAGTATCTTCGGGAAACAATTTTTTTTGTTTGTTTGCTTTTCATGTGCTTTACTCATAGAAATTTTTTTTCCCTCCCCTAGAAATATTAGCTGCCCCAAACATCACAAAAACGTGGTGTTACGAAAACTACTCGTTCATGGAATGGGAAGTAAGGAGTCTCTTTACTGAAGACCTCAAGTATGAACTTGAGATACGGAAGGTAAGCATGCCACCTCCCAGGTGGGCGTCTCTTGTGGTCTGATGCCCCGGACTCTGGAGTTTTGGGGGGAGTCAAGCCATCTAAAGAAAAGAGGAACCATGAGATAACTGAGCGGCAGCGAAACCCGAAGCATTTGGTTGTCTGGGACTTCCCCGGCCATCTGTCGGTTAAGACATCCCTTTCCAGTGCAGGGGGTTCAATCTCTGGTTGGGGACCTAAGATCACATGTGCTTCGAGGCAAAAAAAAAAAAAAAAATGTAAGAGAGAAGCAATATTGTAACAGACTCAGTAAGGACTTTAAGAATGGTCCAGAAAAAAAAATAATTGAGACAGCAACAAAATAAGCGTTTGGGTGTTTGAAAGACAACAGTGACCTTGGAAAAGAAGGCAGAACATGCAAGAAAGTTTTCTTTCATGTTTGGGGTGGAAGAGACATGCTCAGCTGTCGTTGTGCAGGACACAAATGACGTGATAGAAAAAGACAAGGCTGACACAGACACCGGGGAAACCCTCTGATCGCAGGTCCCATGCACACGTCTGAGCTAACTCCCTTCAGTTGTATCTGACACTGTGACCCCGTGGGCTGTAGCCCGCCAGGGTCCTGTATCCATGGGATGCTCCAGGCAAGGATACTGGAGTGGGTTGCCTTGTCCTCCTCTAGGGGATCTTTCTGACCCAGGGATCGAACCCGAGTGTCTGATGTCCCCTGCACTGGGAGGCAGCTTCTTTACCACTAGCAGCACCTGGTCATGTCACAGAGCCTGCAGTTTCCGTGCGAGAAAGGAAATCCTTCCTCCCCACCAAAGATGGTACCTGGGTGTTCATAGAACCCACGTGTATAATGGTCCCCAAGTTCGACACTGCTTGAGGGACGGGATGACCGAAATATGGCTGCAGAGTGGAATCCTATCCACCAAGAACTTGAGCGTCCTATTTTACAATAGCCTGGACGTGGAAGCTGCCTAGATGTCCATTGACAGAGGAATGGATAAAGAAGGTGTGGAACACATACAGACGATGGAATATTACTCAGTCATGAAAAGGAATGCATTTGAGTCATTTCTAATGAGGTGTGTGAACCTACAGTGTGTTATACAGAGCGAAGTAAGTCAGAAAGAGAGAAACAAGTATCGTATATTAGCACCTGTATCGGGGAGGAGTTTGGCTCAGATGGGACAAAATCTGCCTGCAATGCAGGAGATGTGGGTTTAGTCCCCATGTCAGGAAGACCCTCTGGAGGAGGGCATGGCAACCCACTGCAGTATCTCTGCCTGGAGAACCCCACGGACAGAGGAGCCCAGTGGGCTAGAGTCCATGGGGTCGCAGAGTCGGACACGGCCGAGTACACACACACAGACACGGTGCGTGTATGTAAATCCCAAACTCTTAATTTGTCCTTCCCCCAGGTACTTTTCCGTCCATTGATACGTTATACTCAATTACTTCTATTTATTATTTTTATGGGCTTCCCTGGTGGCTCAGATGGTAAAGAATCCGCCTGCCAGTGCAGGAAACCCAGGTTCGATCTCTGGGTCCGGAAGATCCCCTGGAGGAGGGCATGGGGACCCACTCCAGGATTCTTGCCTGGGGCATCCCATACGTATGACATCTGTGATTTCTGTTCATTGAGTGATTAGCGTCGGCTTTTCTGTGACCGTGAAACCGCTCGGAGCAATGAGCCTTTCTTGGGTGTGGATCAGACTCCCACGCTCCGTTGTTCTCTTACAGGGCACGGACCTCGCCTACAGAGAGGAGGTGGGTATCCACCCCGCGTGGCCCCCGCAATCTGCCGTCCCAAGCACAGGCTCCTTATTTCAATCGGTGTCCAGACCCTCTGAGACGAGGCGCCCTAGCGCACGGGCCAGGCGTTATCACCTACGCACCCCCGCTTCACGGCTAGATCCCGGGGACTCGGTGACAGCATCGTCACGCCCAACTAACCGCATCCAACCCGCAGAGGCGGCCGTTCCCGCGGGCAGTCATGAGTGCCGGTGGAGAACCCGTCTCCGTCGTCTCTGTCTCTGTCTGTCCCTCCCGTCTCCGCCTCCGTCTCCACGTGGCTTCTCCTCTGTGTCCGTGTCTCCCCTCTTCTGTGTCTTATAAGGGTCCCATCGTGGGGTTTAGGGCCACCCCCAGCCAGGAGGGACCTCATCTCAGACCCTTCACTGTATCACCTCTGCAGAGACCCTGTTCCATAAAGGCGTCTTCTGAGGCTCCGAGCGTCAGGACCCCCCACATGTGAATTTGGGGAGGCCCCGCTGCGCCCCCTGCCAAGCCCCCGTCCTGCAGCCACAGATCTGCGGGGTCTCTCCCCCCTGTCTGCTTGCCTTTCAACTGCAGACGGAGCTCGAGACCTTGAGGCTGAGGAACCCGGGGCCCTACACGGTGAAGGTCAGGGCCATGGACTCTGTGTTCTTCAGGAGCAGACCGCAGGGCCAGTGGAGCGCCCCGCAGCACCTCGGTGAGGGGCACGCCCCTCGGTCTCTCCAGGGGTGGGCAGCGGGGCTGGGGTGGCTGTGTGTTGGGGCGGGGGTCACGGAGGCAAGGACCCCTGGTGGCCAGCAGCCTGCCGGACACTGACCACCACTGCTCCTTGATGCGCCTGCTGGAGGGAGAGGGGACCGTCCACCCGCCTTGGCCCAGTCCCCCAGACAGGGCTGCAGGGACCATGGCTGACCCGCGGGGGGCGGGAGACAGGAGGTGGTCCCGGGGAACCAGCCCCGCTTCACCCACCCCACTCACCCCAGCCCAGCCCAGCCCAGCCCAGCCCATCGTGCATCATAGGGAGGCGTGGGCTGCTAGCGGGGTCTCGGTCTCTGTCTCCCTCCCAAGTCGCCCGGGGACGGGTTTTCCTCTGCAGTTAGAAGGCTTTCCCCAGGTGGCGGTTGCTGGGCGTCCTTGAGCTCTGCCCCAAAGCCCCACCTCCTCTCAGGCCCAGGCCACGTCCCATTCCTGACCTGACCCAGCAGGAAAACCTGGGGCAGCAGGCCAAGGCCGTGGGCGTGAGTGTCCTGGGGCGGGGCGGGGCGGGGCGGCTGTAACAAATGACCACAGACGGGCTTAAGCAACAGACATCCACCCTCCCCAAGTCCTGGAGACCAGACGTCTGAGGTCAAGAGGTTCCCAGGGCTGACCTCCCTGCAGAGGCTCCAGGGAAGGGCCCTTGCCGCCTCTCCCAGCTTCTGGGGGCTCCGGGCGTCCATCCATGGGCTGGTGGCCACCTCCCTCGCATCCTTGATGGACTCTGTGCCCAAGTTGTTCCATGGAGATACGCAAGGTGCATGTGCAGACGGCCATGGCCTAAACTCTCAGAAGATAAACTTTTTAATGCATTTAATGCATTTTAAAATGCATTTAAAAATCCAAAGGGATGTGAGAAATTTGTGATGACCATATATTAAATTCAAAGGCTGGCACAGGGGCGAAACCAGTATGCCACAGGGAAGGAGGTGGTGATGGTTCGCCTGGGAAACAGACCTGCCCAAGTGGCGCGTGCTGTGAAAGTGTCAGTCGCTCAGTGGTGTCCAAGTCTCCGCGACCCCATGGACCGTAGCCCACCAGGCTCCTCTGTCCACGGGATTCTCCAGGCCAGAATAGTAGAGTGGGTTGCCATGCCTTTCTCCAGGGGAATCTTCCTGACCCAGGGACCCAACCCGGGTCTCCCGCATGGCAGTCACATTCTGTGCGCCAGACTCCATCTGGTGGTCAGTGGCGGGGGCAGGGGGCAGGTAGTGGTATTCAGGCGGCTTGGGAAGGATTCCCGCGCGGCCCGGGCAGTGGGCGCAGGTGGCTGATGTCCGCGGGGTGGATCGCGCTCCTGGGTGCGGCCCTGCGTCCCCAGCCCCGCGGGGAGGCCTTGTCCCGGGCCCCCCCCGACATTTCCCGCCCGCCCCTTCTTCCCTAGACTGTGACCGCAAGGACGCGTCCTTCCCGCTCTGGCTGGTGTACCTGCTGGCCCCGCTTGGGGCGCTGCTCCTGGTGGGGCTCCTGTTTCTCTGTCGCAGGTGAGCCCCTCCTCCCCGGTTTGCGCTCCGGAGGTTTTTTTCTGGAGGGGGGCACGGGCAACCCACTCCAGTATCCGCCATCTGGAGAATCCTCACGGACAGAGGAGCCCCCCTGCGCGGCTGACACTTCGTGGAGCGCGATCCGCAGGCCCGGCGGCGCGCGCCCCCGCCCGGGCCCGTGCGCCCTGTGTCTTGGCCGCGGGACGCGCGCCCCCGGGGTCTCCGCGCCCCCGGGGTCTCCGGCCGCCGCTTCCAGGCTCCCCAGTGGTCTTTTATCAACAGGACCCTGGTCTCCCCCGTCTGTTCTCTGCCTCCTGCGGAAGCGAAGGAGCCCAAAGTCCACAGGGCACCATCCTCGGGGCGCGGGGTCCCTGCCTCCGCGGGCCCTCAGTGCACGCGGGGCGCGCTCTCTGCGGCCGGTCCCCTGACGCCCCCCCCCCCCCCCGCACTGTGCTCCCTTCACACCTCGCCGCGACGCCGTTGGCCCCCACCCCGCCGCCCCCAGCAACCTCCGCACTGGCCTCAGGGAGCCCTCCTGAGCCCAGCAGACAGGCAGCAGGCGGGCGCCGGCGCTGTGCTGCCTTTTCAGCCCTGACCACGCCCCCGCGGTGCCTGCCAAACGCTGCGCGCTCAGCCTCATCCGAGCACCGCCCTCGGCCCACCACCGGGGCTCGCTGCGGCTTCTGCCTCGTGAAGCTTCTGGTTTCACACACACACGACACACCCAGAAACACGTAGACACACACACACACACACGACCCCATATATAGACAGACAGACACACAAACACACCGCCTAGCCAGGGGCTAGGGTTGGGAGTGTATGGGCCGCAGCCCCAAAGCAGGGGGACCACCTGCTCCCCGTGGACGCCACTGGGAGGGGGAGGTTGCCATGGTGATGGGATGGGGCGGCCTCCATCCTTACAGGATCTTGGGGGAGGTGCCGAGGAGGAGCTGATTTCGCTGCCGCCGCTGCTCTACTAAGGCTCCGATTTTTGCGTCCGGATGGTGGGGGGCGGGGGTTGGGAACGAAGACCCGTCCCAACGGAGGGCGGAGTCCGAGTGCTTGCAGGCCTCGCTGGGCCCTCTGGGGGGCGCCGCGGTGCCGCGCGGGTTTCACACCCGCACATCTTCTCCTCCGAGGTGGCCGGTGATGCGGAAGCTGTTCCCGCGTGTCCCTCACGTGAAAGACCCCATCGGCGACAGCTTTCAGAATGAGAGGATGGTACGCGCTGCGCGGGGGCTGGCGCGCGTGGCCGGGTCTGGGGGCGCACTTCCCGCTGGCTGCCGGCGGTGGCCGAGCCTGCATGATGGGAAGGGGAGTTCACCCCCGAGGCGCGGGTCTGGGAGCCCCCTGCCGAGGCGGGGGGTGCCCTGTCCGGATCCCTGCGCTATCCGAGGTTTTCCGGGACGCACTTGCCGCCCCCCTACCACACCCCGCACCCCCACTCACCCTGACCCCCTGCGCCCTGCAGGTGGCCTGGGACCCGGAGCCGGAGAGCCAGGAAGAGTGTCCGGTGACCCAGGTGCAGGTGTTGGAAACATGAAACTCATGCAAGCGGGGGCTTCGTTTTTCCGCCGGGGGAGGGCGCACGGCCGGGCCGGGTTGGACGCGGACGTTTGCTGCACGTCTGAGGATGGGAAAGCCTGCTGCACCTGACTGGGGGGTTGCCTTCCTTGTGCTTATTTCTCAAACTACTTTTTGACCCGTCACGGGCCCCCTGGAGGTGGGGGGGGGTCACCCCGCAATGCCGCACAGCCCCCTGGACACCCCCAAATGCCCACTGTGTTGGCTGGCCTGGTTTCTTTAAATGGTTCCATTTCCCATTGTGTGTGTTAGTCGTTCATTTTCCCTTTTAAGCCCCTTAAATCACTTAATTGAGATGTGTACACACACACACAGACACACACACACGAAAGGACTTAGCCTACCCCACCCGCCCCACAGGAACTCAGGGCTTCTCAGGAGGGACCTCAGATCGCTTTAGTCTTGTTCAAACGCTTGAGTTGTGGCTGCAAAGCATTGACCCCAGCGGCAGAGGCGGGGTTGCCAAGCCTGAGGGAGGTAAGCCGGCCCAACGTGCCCCTGTGGTTATTCCACTCAAGGTGCTGAAGGCACCGTGCCCAGGATCTGACCCGCGCAGCGCAGGTCTGCGCTGACAGGTCCCTGGCTCGGTCGGTCCGCCCTAGCGGCTGGGTCGGAAGTCGGGACGCTTCTGTGGGCGGGCGCCGGGCTCAACCCCCGTGGGCGAGTGCGCGCTGGACTCGCTCCCGCGTGGGCTGGGCGACCTTGGGGACAGCTGGCTCCAACTTCCTGTTCTCGGGGTGACCTCACACTGCTCTGCCGATTATCAAAGCCCTGCCTTTCAAGGACCTAATCCAGCTTGGGAGTGGGGGTTGTGGCTGGGCTGCGACCTGCAGATGACCCCCACCCGACCTCTCCAGTGTCACCAGTGCTGGCAGCTGCAAGTGGAGCCAGGGGACACCTCTGGGTGCAGCCTCCTGAGGGCTCAGGTTGGTTGATGACTCCACCGCCTCTCCCCAACCTCCACAGACACCCCGAGGCGGCCTCGGAATCCACCCCACGCCCCCAATCACATACCACGACCCTGACATCGGCCTGGTGGACGGTCCCAGCAGTGAACATTAGGGCTCTGGTTTCTGCCGGAATACTTAGCTGCGGGGGGGGGGGGGGGGGGGGGGTTGGCAGGGCGGGCGTGTCTTAAGTCCATCAGTGATGGCTGACAGCCCGAGGGCTGTAGCCCGCCAGGCTCTGTCCAGAGGATTCTCCAGGCAGGAATACTTGAGTGGGTTGCCATGCCCTCCTCCAGGGGATCTTCCCCATTCAGCGAGTGATTGAACCCGGGGTCTCTGGCACTGCAAGGGCGACAGCTGAGAGCCTAAAAGTTGGTGAACAATCTGCCTGCAATGCAGGACACCTGGGCTTGGGGAGATCCCTTGAAGGAATTGGCAACCCACTCCAGTGTTCTTGTCAGGAGAATCCCATGCACAGAGGAGCTGGTGGGGCTTCAGCCCATGGGTCACGAAAGACTTAGCAACTAAACCACCACCAGGGAAGCCCGGGTGCCCACCTCAGAGGGGATTCCCTAGTGAGCCCTGGGCACGGGTGGGCCACACAGCTGCCACCACCTTGGGGGTCCTGTGTGGTTAAACCCCAGCTACAGCTGAGAAGGCTGAGCGCCGAAGGATTGACGCTTCTGAACTGTGGTGCTGGAGAAGACTCTTGAGAGTCCCTTGGACTTCAAGGAGATCCAACCCGTCCATCCTAAAGGAAATCAGTCCTGAGTGTTCATTGGAAGGACTGATGCTGAGGCTGAAACTCCCAATACTCTGGCCACCTGATGTAAAGAGCTGACTCACTGGAAAAGACCCTGATGCTGGGAAAGACTGAGGGCAGGAGGAGAAGGGGAGGAGAGAGGATGAGATGGTTGGCTGGCATCACCGACTTGATGAACATGGGTCTGAGCAAACTAAGGGAGCTGGTGATGGACAGGGAGGCCTGGTCTCAAACCTGCCGCTGCTTCCCGCGCCTCGAGGACTCTGCTGAGAAAGGAGACGAGCGCCTCTGTGTCCTGATTTTATTGTTCCGCAGCGGAAATGCCCGACGGAGAAACATAGTCGCGAGTACCCGGCTGTGCAAAGAGAGGATAGTGCTTAAGTACAAATGGAGACATGATTTTCTTAAATAAATACTTAAACACGGGTCGGTCCTACAAGCACCTGGAGTCTAGGTCTGGTGTGCTGAGCTGCCTCGACTGTGGACCCACGGAGACCCCCCCGATTGCCCTCTCCCCCAACCCCAATCAACGCGTGGACCCAGGGCCGATGGTCCGCCGGCGAGGAGCCCCCGGCGCGGGGCGGCCCGGCCCCGGCGGGGACGCTGGAATTTCTCGAAGTCGGTGGTCCGTCACAGTGAGGGATGGCGCGAGGCGGTTGCGGCGGGCGGCCAGGCGCCTAGATGACCTTCTTGAGCTCGTCGTAGAGGACCAGAACAAAGGCGCCGCCCATGCCGCGCAGCACGTTGGACCAGGCGCCCTTGAAGAAGGCCTTGCCGCCCTCGTCCTTGAGGATCTTCCGCCAGCAGTCAACCGTGCCCTTGTACATGATGTCGGCTGTGGGGAGACGGCGGGTCAGGGAGCGCTCGGACGCGGCCCCAGGGGACCCGGCAGAGCTGCTGAGCCCGGGGCCGCCCCCTGCGCGCCAGGAGGAGCCCTGGCCCGAGAAGAGGCGGCTCTGGGCACGCGCTCTCGGGAGGGGCTCAAGCCCAGGACTCTAGCCCCCACGAGGCCCAGGGACGCCAGGGCAAAGACCGAAGGAGCCGCGGGTGCGGATGGGCGCCCACGGGAGACCCCCTTATCAGATCACGGGACGCCGGAAGGGCCCTGTGCCTGCCCCGCCCACAAGAAGCCCAGCGTGGACAGGCGCCCCCATGGGGCCTCAGAGAAACCCCCAACACCTGGAGGACTCTTTCCACCCGCCCCCGCTCCCATGAAAGCCGGCTGCCTCTCTGGGACTAGACGCTGACCCCCGCCTCTGCAGGAAGACCCAGGGCCGCTCACGGGGCCCCTGGCACCTCCCCGAGCCCATCAGAGCGCGACCCTGAGCGGAGCCGGCCCATCCTTTAACAGCCCCCTTCCCCCCCGGCCCTGAGCACAGCCAGCACGTCCTCTGCCCCCTACCCCGAGCGGAGCCAGTACCTCCTTTGCGCCCCGACTGCATCATCATGCGCCGCCGCACCGTGTCGAAGGGGTAGGAGACCACACCCGCCACGGCCGTCACCGTCTGCGCGATCATCCAGCTCACCACGATGTGCGTGTTCTTGGGGTCGGGGAGCATGCCTGCGGGCACCGGGGGGTCACGGGGTGAGGCCCAGGGCCGCCCACACTGCCCTGTGGAGTTCCACGGGGGACACTGGCCGGGCCGGACTGGGGTCAGCACCCGCCCTGGCAGCTGGCAGGGAGGGGACGCTCTGACACCTGCTCCACTGCAGAGGGTGCCAGCCGGCTGGCTCCACCTCCGGAGCGGCTCCCCTACAGGGACTGAGCCGTGCCACCCCCCAGATCGTGGTGGGGCCCCAAACCCCGGAACCACAGGGCGTAACTGTACCTATAGGAACACTATCGTGTGTAACTATACGTACATACGGGAAATCAAATATTTTACAGACAGAACCAAGATCATAGGGAAAAATTCTAACTCACTATAACTGGGGTCCTTGTAACAACAACAGGTCAGGGCAGACAGACACACAGGGACAGCAGGTGAGGATTCGTGGAGGAGAAACCAGCCCCGCCCACACCCGGGTCTCAGCCTCCAGGACTGGGAGCAAAGAAGGTGCGCTGCTTAAGCTGCCCTCTGTGATATCTGCCCAGACCAATCAGGGATCCCTCTTATCAATGGTGACCAATTTACATGTTGAATCCCTAACCTCAGGAGCCCAGAATGTAGCTCTGATAGGAGATGAGGGTCTTTCAAGAGAAGGTGAAAGCGAGGTCACCAGGGTGGGTCCTCAGCCTATAGGACTGGGGTCTTTATGAAAAGAGGTCAGACACGGACACACCCAGAGGGAGGAGCTCATGACGATTCAGGGGGTCCACAGGCCCAGGAGAGAGCCCCGCCCACACCAGGGGCCCCAGCCTCCAGGGCTGGGAGCCCCCAGCTATCTGTAACTGAAATGCACAGCCCTCCCTCCAGGACCAGGCCCCCGCCCCCTGGGAGCCGAAGGCCCTGACCCTCCTGGGAGCCATCCCCCACCCCCGCCTCCAGCACCGCGAGCAGGGCGCTCACCCTTGGCGGTGTCGTAGATGCCGAAGTAGGCTGCGCGGTAGATGATGATGCCCTGCACGGACACGTTGAAGCCCTGGTACAGCCCGCGGATGCCGTCGGACTTGGTGATCTTCACCAGACAGTCTCCCAGGCCCTTGAACTCGCGCTCACTGCCTGACTTGCCCACGTCGGCCGCCAGGCGGGTCCGGGCGAAATCCAGCGGGTAGACGAAGCACAGGGAGGTGGCACCGGCCGCCCCGCCCGAGGCCAGGTTGCCGGCGAAGTACCTCCAGAACTGGGTGTGCTTGTCCACGCCCCCCAGAAAGATCTGCTTGTACTTGTCCTTGAAGGCGAAGTTGAGGGCTTGCGTGGGGAAGTAGCGGATGACGTTGGCCAGGTTGCCCCGCCAGAAGGACAACACGCCCTGCTCCTTGGGGATACGCACGATGCAGTCCACGATGCCCTTGTACTGCTTGTCGGCTGCGATTTGCTTGCTGGCGTGCTGCACCTGGGGGGCGGCAGGGGGAGACACAGGGCTTTACCGGGGGCCTGGGCACACCGCCATGTCGACTTAACGAGAAGATTCTAGTAAAGCTCAGACAGCTCTGAGCGATTGCTCCAAGGAGGTGAGGGAAAGGTCAGTATGCTGGTCAACAAGTTCATATAAGCAAGTTCATATTTTCCCAGAGCGTTTCTTACGCTCAAGGAACATTTGTCACCGTGAAGGTTTTCAATGCTTTTTCAAACATGATGGACAGGGAAGCTTGGCCTGCTGCACCTTGGGGTGAGGGGGAACAACTCCATGTCCACTTGTAAAAAATACACAACTTGGAAGTGCCGAATTAATATCTGGGGCAAAACGAGAATTACACCCTGGGGGGAGAGCAGCTGAGATAGCTGAGAGATTGCTCCAGAGGTGAGGAGGAAGGTCAGTACGGATGAGATTCTGGTCCATGGGAAATTCAGAGCAAACACGTATTTTCGCAGAGCCTTTCTCATAGCCTCAAGGAGCATTCGTCACCATTAAGGTTTTTAGTGCTTTTCTAAACATGATGGACAGGGAAACCTGACGTGCTGCTGCCCATGGGGTCGGCAAACGATCGGACACGACTGAGCGACTAAACTGAAACATGAGGTGGGCAAGCGAGAAGTGGGCTCATAATCAGCCACTGGAAACATCTGTCTGATGACCTGACCTGTCACATTTTCCCAGAACCCGCATGCCTCATTCCTGCTCTCCACCCTTAAGTCCTTTCACGGGGTTTGAAGGTCAGCAGCACCTGATGTAATACTCAGAGGCGGCTCAAGATGGTCAAGAATCACTCCGCAATGCAGGAGACCCGGGTTTGATCCCTGAGTCAGGAAGATTCCCCTGAAGAAGAGCTTGGCAACCCACTCCAGTATCCTCGCCTAGAGAATCCCATGAACAGAGGAATCTAGCAGGGCTACAGCCCATGGGGTCGCGAGAGTCGGACGCGACTGACCTAATACCGCTCTCAGAGGTAGACAGCAGGTGCCCACAAGTGTCAATCTGCAGTTGACACCCGCAAAAATCACCAACGACAAACGTGTCCTTAATAACACATTTGTATGGGGCCTTTAAGCTCTCCTAACATCCTTCCTGGGGAATCCTATTTTCTTTAGGGGTTGCAGTCACATTGCAACACTAACTCCACTGGCTCCCTACTTGTGACGCTCCAAACAGACCAGCGCAGTTTATTCCGCGTCAGACCCGCGCAAACAAGTGCGAACAGTGGGCAAAGAGGGCCAGTACAACCACGGGCACGAGAGATCTGCCCTCGCGCGACTCCGTCCATCGCCCAAGGGCACGAACCCCACACCCAGCCTCGCAGGGTCAGTCCACGCGGCTCTTGCACCGCGCCTGCGCGCCCTAGCGCCGCAGGCCCTAGAGCGCACGCGCGGAGGCCGCCGCCGCCGCCGGCCGCCCACCGCGCCTGCGCTCCCCCGCGCCCCAATGCGGAGGCGCAGATCTCGCCGCCGGCCGCCCCCCGCGCATGCGCCCCCCCGCGGCGGCGCCCACGTGACGCGACCCCCCGGAAGCCGGCCGGGTCGGCCGCGCGCGGACAAAGCGGCGCGGCCTCCCCGCTTCCGGTCCGGGGGTCGCGCGCGCCCCCGAGCTCCCCGGGGCCCGGCGCCGGCGGCCGCGCGCCCGCAACCTGACACGCACCTGCAGCAGCAGCTTGACGCGCTCGATGGGGGCCACGGCCGTCTTGGAGATGGCGGCGGCGATGCCCCCGGCCAGGAAGTCCTTGGCGAAGGAGACGGCCTGTTCCGTCATGGCGGCGGGCGGAGAGCGGAGCGGAGGCGCAGAGGGGCAGAGAGACGCAGCGGGAGGTTGGGCGCCGCTAGTTCAGCGCTGCCGCCGCCGGGACCGAAAGGACTGGGCGGCCACCGCGCAGCCGCTAAGGGGCCCGCTCCCCGCCCCGCTGCCCCCGCGCGCCTCGCCCATTGGCTGCGCTGCCACGCAGGCCCCGCCCCCTGGGCGCGCGCCCCGCCCCCGCGCGGGCTGCCGGGAGCGGCGCCTCGCCCCGCCCCGTGGGTCCGTACGGCCGCGCCCATTGGCCGCGCCGCTGCCCTGCTCCGCCACTTGGGCGTGCGCCGCGCTCCCCGCGTGCTGCCGGGAGCTGCGCCTCGCCCTGCCCCGAGGCCCCCCGTGCGCCACACCTATTGGCTGCGCCACCACGCAGGCCCCGCCCCCTAGCCCGCGCGCCGCGCCGCGGGGCATGTCGGGAGCCTCGCCCCGCCCCTGCGCCGAGCGTGCCCGGGGCGGGTCACATTGAGGTGAGAGGCGACCACTTTGACCTTGTGAAGGTCACGCTTGGTGTGGCGGCCGCGACGGGCTGCGGCGGTGAAAGGGACAGGTCGGGCCTTGCGGAGACCCGCGCCCTCTCTTGTCTGGATCGTAGCCCCGGACGCTCGGGTCCCCAGGGTCGTCCTGGAGATCGTCCAGTCCGGCCGGTCCAATCGTTGAGGCCCGGACCGCGGGTCTGGCGCAGGTTTCCGCTCCGCAGACCTCCGAGTCCCGGCCGCGACCCCACCCCCAACCCCGCAGCCCCGAGAGGCCCTGATGACCCCTGGCTTCCTCCAGGCCCCGCGTCGCCTCGGGGGACGAGCGATGCAGTCTGTGGGTTCTGACCCAGCGTATGAAACCGCCCCAGAACCCCGCCCGGGCCGGCTTCGGAGCAACGTTTGCCTATGCCCCGCCCTGGAGACCCGGGTCCGCCCAGGAGAGCGCCCCCGGAGGACCCAGCGTCCCGCCGTGGGGTCCCCCAGCCCTAACTCGGATTCCTCCGGGTGCACTTGGGGGAGGTCCCATGATGGGGGAGGTCCGGCTGCCTTTCCAGGGCCCAGTGGGGCTCACACTCGGAGTGTCCCTGTCAAGCCGGGCACCGCGACTTGGAAGAGGGTCTCCTAGAAACACGGGCACGTGTGCTGATGTCACAGGCTCACTGACAGGTGCACTCACGTGTGTGTATACGTGTGTCCACAGACATGCACGCGTATGCAGCCATTGCATATGCCCACGCGCGGACTTGTATGCACAGTGTTACACGCGGCAGTACTGGCCCCCTGCCTCCAAGGGCGTGTCCAGAGACCTTGGTGTTTGGAAGGCCTGACCGCCTTGTGCAAGTGGTGTTCGTTCAGGCCTGTCTGACCTTTTGCAACTGTGGAATAAAAGAAAGTACAACTTGAGAGTTGTGAGTTAAGTTTTATTTGGGGCAAAAGGAGGACTGCCGCGGTGGGAGGCAGCATCTCAGCTAGCTCTGAGAGACTGCCAACGCGGCAGTAGGGAAAGTCAATCATGAAGGTTTGGTGAAGGGGGAGCTCAGGGCCGTGAAGCGCTCGGTTTACAAAAGGCTTTTGTTAGTCTTGAGGATCTGATGTCACCATGAAGGGATTCAGTGCTTCTCTAGGTGTGACGGACTGATGTTGAAGCTGAAAGTCCAACCCTTTGGCCACCTGATGTGAAGAGCTGATTTCATTTGAAAAGACCCTGATGCTGGGAAAGATTGAAGGTGGGAGGAGAAGGGGACGACAGAAAATGAGATGGTTGGATGGCATCACTGACTCAATGGGCGTGAGTTTGACTAAACTCCAGGAGTTGGTGATGGACAGGGAGGCCTGGCGTGCTGCGGTTCATGGGTTCACAAAGAGTCGGACACGACTGAGCGACTGAACTGAGCTGAACTGGACTAGATATGAGGAGTTGCAAGGACTGAGATCATAAAATCTATTCCTAAAAACATCCAACTAAATAAAGACCTGTCCCAGCACATCCCCTGGAGCACAGAGTGCCTCAGTCCACCCTGAACTCCCTCAGGGATTGTTGAAGGTCAACAGCAATAGCAGCAAGGAGGTTCAATCTCCCTAGAGGCAGATGACAAACTGCCTTTGTTGTTCAGTTGTTGGCAATGCACTTTAAGTGCCAATCTGTAGTGGACACGACCCCATAGACTTTAGCCCTCCAGGCTACTGGGATTCTCCAGGCGAGAATACTGGAGTGGGTTGCCATTACCTCCTCCAGGGGAATCTTCCCCACTCGGAGTGAATCCAGATCTCATCCATTGCAGGGAGGTTCCTTTCCCGTCTGAGCCACCACAGGAAGCCCCTGTGAACTCCTTATTGAATTTTAAATAACTAAACAACACAAGTCCCAAGTGTATCGTCCTGTGAATTTTCACAAAGCGAATGCCGAGGTGTGTCCCCAGCCAGGTCCAGAAAAAATAAAAGTCTTTGTAGCAACGCGGGTTCAAGAATTAGTTCTTAATTTGCCTCTCTCCTGTTGTTTTTTTCTCTATCCCCGTCCTCTCTTTTCTTTATGCCCCGCCCCCCACATTGGCTCCGACGGTGAAGAACCTGACGAGCCAGGTTTCGATGGCGGGGTCGGGAAGATACCCCGGCGGAGGGCAGGGCCACCAAGTCAGGTACTGTTGCCCGGGAAACCCACGGACAGAGGAGCCTGGTGGGCTACAGTCCATGCGGTCGGAAAGAGTCGGACACGACTGAGTGACTGACACTTCCTGTTTCCGTGGCTTCTTTCTCATCCCTGCCTCTCGGTCCTTTCTGCCGCCCCGCCCTCCTTCTCATGAGGGGGTCTCCTCCAAGTGGCACTGGATGGATGGATGCTAGGGACCGAGCCACAAGAGCCCAGCACCCCCCCCCCCACCTCCTCCAACCCCAGCCCCAGCCGGTCATTCATTTCTCCAGCCCCCGGTGACCTGGCAGGAGGGCCTTCCAGAGAGCTCTCGTGATTTCCTGGCAGAGGCAGGTAAGAGGCGTGGCCGGAGAATGACCGGGCCCGAGGGGTGGGTACGGATCAGGTGGCTGTCAGCGGGTGAGGATTGCAGCGGGAGTGGGGGGTGGGAGGCGGGGGAGGGCCTTGGTGTTCTGGCATTTTCTGAGGCTTCACTGGGGCCTGGAGGACGGAGCTGGGTGGTGGCCCAGCCCGGTTCCGGCCGGCCGCGACTACACGGCGCTGGAAGAGAGGGCGAGGCCGCCCCGGGTTCTGGTTTCTGGCTGCGGGGCACGCCCGGTCAGGGAGGCGTCTCCGGTCATCTGCAGTTTGTACACAGCGGGCACCAGCCCGTCTGGGCGGGGCGGGATCCCGCGATGCTTATCACTGCCCGCTGGGCCAACGAGGACCAGCCAGCCGGAGCTGGTCCTTCAGGCCGGGAGGCCCTGGCAGTCCGCACTTTGCTTTCAGAGCCAGCGTTGGGCACGCCAGGATGCCTCTCTGCAGCCTCGGTGTGGCGGCGGTTAACCCCTGGGCCACCCTGTCCCCTCCCCTAGGTGACGGATCCCCCTCCCTGGGGCCCCACGTGCATCCCAGGGGTCACCCCCACTCCGACCCTCCGCCCAGGTCAGCAGCTTGCTGTCTGCGGGAAGGACTGAATGAATGTGACATCTGTCCTTGCTCACTAGGGCGCAGAACGTGTTTCTCCTTTAAAAGCATCTCACGTGGGCCTTCGATGGAGGTCTGCTCCGTGTGTGTGTCCTGGGGACGGGGGGGCATCGGTGACCCAGGCCGTGTGCTGCAGTCACGGCTGAGACGGGAGGGCGGCGGGACCACAAACACCCCGGGTACTGGGGAAAGACTGTGCACCTGTAGAATTGTGCACCCAGGTAGACCGAGGGGTGGGTTGGGGATGGTTAAGGGAGGTGGGATGGCGGGTGGGGGATGGGGGTGGGGGAAGGAAGGGGTCCTGTTCCAGGACTCCGGGGGCAGGGGTGCAGAGACAGCGGGCTGGCCCCCATTCCTCACCACCCTCCCGAGGCCCGAGGCTTAATTACGACATTCACAGCGTTAGAGGCTGCGTATCCGAGATGGTTTTTGTCGTCTCGCTGCTAAGTCATGTCCGACTTTGCGACCCCATAGACTATAGCCAGAGTAGTGGCACGGGTGGCCATGTCCTCCTCCAGGGGATCTTCCCGACCCCGGGATTGAACCTGCGTCTCTCAGGTCTCCTGCATTAGCAGGTGGCTTCTTTACCACTAGCGCCACCTGCCCGTCTGTGTTCTAAGCAATGAAGAGACAGGTTAGGTGTCCGTCGGTCATATCTCCACTTCTCGCCTTTTAATTTTTTTTTTTAACTGCAAAGAGTCCCAGTGGGACACAGAGAGTGAGGCGAATAAGGGCCCCACGGGCCGTCCGTCCTGGCTTCCGCAGGCGTTCGCTGCCGTCAGCCTGCAGCTGGGGCCCTCGCTCGGGGGTGTCCCCGGCTCACGGGCCTGGTCGTGGGCGTGGGACCCCCGAGTCCGGCCCGCATCAGGCGCACTGCTACAGGGACTCTTGGGGGGGGGGGCTCGGGTACCCCGCGCCCTGCGGGCGGGTGCTCTGGCCCCTCCGGTTAGAAGATCAAGTTTCTTCTAGCGATCCTGGTGTCTGGAGGGACCGCGCCCCCCACGCGCCCCCGGGGGAGCAGAGGGCCGGCTCTGCACGTCACTCGTTCTCACTGGGGGCCCAGCCCGGCTGCAACCAGGTGCCCTCGGGAGAAGGACCGCACCCCCTGCCTTTCCCGGGGGTCCCCTCTGTCGGTCGCCTCCAGCCCCGGGGGCCTCTCCGAGTCCCCGCGACCCCCGCCCCCCCCCCAACAAGCACTCCCAGCCCGCGTACCCTTCCCCTCCCGGGTTGGGGGGGGGGGGGGGGCTGCGCATCTCCTGGGTCCAGGGCGCCCCCTACAGACGCGCGCGGAGACTGCCTGCTTTCCGCCTCCTTTAATAATCGTTGTCCCAGCGGACGCCTCTTCTCCGGGAAACCCCCAGGCTCGCGCGGCGACCGTCGGGGCGGGGCGACCCTCAGGGCGGGGCCCGGGTCCCCAGGACCACGTGCAGCAGGTCTCCCGCGCGCGCCGCCTGCACATCCTGGAAGCCGAGCCCCTGCAGGAGGCGCCGGTACTGCCCGGGGCCCCTCGGGGGCCGCCCCGCCCCGAGGATCCGCAGCCCGGGGGACCTCCGCGCCGCCCCGCCGGCCTCCTCCTCCTCCGCGGGCGCCAGTTCGGCCAGCAGGAGGCCAGCGCCTGGGGAGACAGACACAGAGATAACCGGGAAGGGACGCGCAGGCGTCCCAGGACCCAGCCTGCGGGTGCCCCCGGGGCTCCCCACGGGAGGACTTCCCGGTGGGAAGGTGGGAGGAATTCTGTCTGCAGGGACAGGGCTGCAGACTCTGCGCTGACCGGAGGCGCGCTCTGCTCTGTCCCTCAGGCGGGTCCGACTCTGCGACCCCGTGGACTGTTGCCCGCCGGGCTCCTCTGTCCACGGGGTTCTCCAGGCAGGAATACTAGACTGGGTAGCCTGTCCCTTCTCCAGGGGATCTTCCCGACCCAGAGATCGAACCTGGATCTCCCGCATTGCAGGCAGATTCCTTACCGTCTGAGCCACCAGGGGGAGCCCATGAGACGCCATGCGCATACTGCGGCCAGAAAGCTCAGAAACGAATGAGGGGCAACTGGCAATCAGCTACGGCCTGGGCAGGCGGTAAACTGGGCAGCAGACCGTGGGCTGGATGGTGGGCAGGCTGACTGTGTGACATGCATTCGGGTTTCTTTCTCTTTTTTTTTTGATGGGAAATTGTCTTTAAGTGTGAAGAAAGGCAAGTGCACGAAGAAAAGGCAAGTCCAGGGTCTCACCTGCTCTGCAGCTGCGGGAGACCCGGCTCAGGAGCCCGTGGAGTCTGTCGTCAGGCCCGCCGTGCACGAGGCTGCAGAGAACGTACAGGTCTGCGGGCGGGAGGCAGTCGCTGGAAAGGTCACCTGGGTCACACACAGACGGGGTGGAGGCGTGGAGGCCCAGGGGCTGCTTCTGCAGCCAGCGTCCTACGCGCAGATGTGACCCAGACACACACAGACACACAGCTACACACAGCAACACACAGACGCACACAGCGACACAGCTACACACAGACGCACACAGCGACACACAGCCACATACACATACAGATGCACAGACACACGAGAACACAGACACACAGACTGACAGGGAAGCACACACAGAAGCATGCATGTGTACACATACCCGCACACGCAACACCCTGGCGGCTCAGACAGTAAGGGATCCACCCCCAGGGTAGGAAACCTGGGTTCCATCCCTGGGTCAGGAAGATCCCCTGGAGGAGGAAATGGCAACCCACTCCAGTATCCTTGCCTGGAGAACCCATGGACAGAGGGGCCTGGCGGGCTGCAGGCCATGGGGTTGACGTGGAGTGAACAGCTAACACTTTTTCACTTTATCCACACACAGAAACACACAAATACACACACACGCAGGAAAATACATATATAGACACATAAACTCAGGTACATACACATTTAGACACACAAACAGACCACATATGCATGCACATACACACATACAGGCACACGTGGACACAGAAACACACAACACACAGAGACAGACAGAAATGTACACATATAGACACACACACACTCCGTATGTGTGTGCGTACTCAGTCGTGTCCAACTCTCTGAGACCCCATGGACTGCAGCCCGCCAGAGTCCTCTCTCTGTTGGATTTCCCAGGAAAGAATACTGGAGTGGGTGCCATTTCCTCCTCCAGGGCATCTTCCCGACCCAAGGGCCGAACCCGCGTCTCTTGCTTTGGCAGGCGGGCTCTTTACTGCTGGGCCTCCAGGGAAGCCCTACCCACCCCACACAGGAGATAAACAAGGTCGCCCCAAGAGTGACCGCTGGCAGACAAGGACGCCGCACTGACCTGGCACAAAGTGGACCCGCTCCGACGGCCGTGCGCCGGCCTGAAAGCCCCCCGCAAGCTCGATGACCTCTGGGAGGTCAAACACGGTCACCTGCAGGCGCGGGTACTCCTGGACAAGCTTGTGGGCCAGGGCGCCCGTGCAGCCTGTGGGAAGAAACGTGGACTCTGCACCAACCTGGCCTGTCTCCAGAGGCTCAGCTCTGGCAGGACCAAACCAGCGCTCTCGGACATGACCTCAGCATGTGCCCTCAGAGGAGGTCAGCCCGTGGGGTGATCTCTGCTGCCTCAAACTCAGGGCCTTGTGGACTGATGGTGGACCAAGCGCTGGCCCGAGCCAGGTGAGCAGGGTGGAAAGAGATCCACAGGGAATCCTTAGGGCAGAGTTCTAGAGAGTTATACTCTTTCCTTCTCTGTTCTGTTGCGGGAATGCAGGTGTGATGGCTGGTGCCACAGCGGCCACTCTGGGCCACCAGGAGGAAAGCTGTACAGAGGATGGGAAAACCCAAGCTGCCAGCTCAGGAGCCCTCCTAGGACCCCAATCCCACTACATCCCTTGGGAAGGCATCTGCTCCTCCTCTGTCTAATGTCCTGGGGGAAGGACTGGCTGGGAGGGGTGGAGGGTGTGTGTGTGGCATAATTAGACCTCATGAGATGGCAGCAGACAGGTTCCACGGTCCCCTGCTCTGCTTGGCAGCCCCCAGGAAGGGTTCTATAACCTCTACGAGGGTCTGAGCCATCCCTGGGACCTCCTAGCACTTGGGAATATCAGCCCAAGCCCCACATCCACCCTGGACACATTTAGATCCTTGTGTGGTTTGTAGAGATAAACCCATTTTCCAAGTCTTGTTAGTAGGTATCGTGTGTTAGTTGCTCAGTCCTGTCCCGACTCCGCAACCCCATGAACTGTAGCCCACCAGGCTCCTCTGTCCATGGGGATTCTCCAGGCAAGAATACTGGGGTGGGTTGCCATTCCCTTTTCCAGGGGATCTTCCCGACCCAGGGATTGAACCGGGGTCTCCTGAACTGCTTGCGGATTCTTCCACCTGGGAAGCCCATCTGTAGATAAGGCGCCTGCAGCTTCCGACAAGAGAAGGAAGGCTTGCAGCCGTTTGCCCTGACTCCTGTCGGGTGAAGGGATGTACCTCCCAGGTGGCAGGCGGAGGTGAACGGGGACAGGTCAAAGGCCGTGGCCACGTGGTGGGCGGTCAGCTTGCTGAGGCCGTGCGAGGCCCTCATGAACTGCAGGGTCGCCTCCGTGCTCTGCTTGTGGGGGGCCTGAAACGGAACAGGATCTCAGGAGAGACCCACCGGGGTCCCAGGAGGTCCTGCACCCGCGATGACGTTCTACATGGCCTCTCTGAGGGCAGGGGGCTTGGTGGGCTTCCCCAGTGGACCAGACGGTAAAGAGGCCACGTGCCATGCAGGAGACCTGGGCTCCGTCTCTGGGTCGCGAAGATTCCCTGGAGGAGGAGACGGCAACCCACTCCAGTACTCCTGCCTGGAGAATCCCATGGACAGGGGAGCCTGGGGGGGTACAGTCCATGGGGTCGCAGAGAGTCAGACAGGACTGAGCGACGAAGTGTGGGGGGCTTGCTCGGCGGGATGGTGGGGGCAGACCAGATGGGCAGGGGTCCAGGGGACAGAGTGGAAGAGGGAGGGGAGGACAGGAAGACATCCATCGAGGAGCCAGGAACTGCGTCCTCATCAGACACTACACCCACCCTCGCCGGGATTTCAGAAGTCCCGCTTCTACAACCGCAGGAAATAAGTGTCTTTTGTTTCTAAGTGAAAAGAAGCTGCGAGTCGTTGAGTCATGTCCGACTCTTTGCGACCCCATGGACTACATACCATGGGATTTTCCAGGGAAGAATATTGGAGTGGGTTGCCATTTCCTCCTCCAGGGGATTTTCCTGACCCAGAGATTGAACCCAGGTCTCCTGCACTGCAGGTGAATTCTTTACCAGAAGGGAAGCCCTTCGTTTCTAGACCCCCTTGAGAGCCCTGAAGACCCAGACCCACTGAAGTGAAGTGAAAGTCGCTCAGTCGTATCCGACTCTTTGTGACCCCAGGGACTGTGGTCCTACCAGGCTCCTCTTTCCGTGGGCTTCTGCAGGCCAGAGTACTGGAGTGGGTTGCTATTTCCTCCTCCAGGGGATCTTCCCGACCCAGGGATCAAACCCAGGTCTCCCGCATTGCAGGCAGACGCTTTACCATCTGAGGCACCAGGGAAGCAGCTTGCTCAGTCATCTCTGACTCTTTGCAACCCGATGGACTGTACAGTCCATGGAATTCTCCAGGCCAGAATACTGAAGTAGGTTGCCATTTCCTTCTCCAGGGCATCTTCCCAACCCAGGGATCGAACCCAGGTCTCCTGTTGCAGGCGGCTTCTTTACCAGCTGAGCCACAAGGGAAGCCCCCCCAGACCCACTAGACACCCCACAAGGCTCTCTCTGGAGGGTCGGGAGCCAGGAGGCAGGGCAGGGAGGGGTTTGCAGACTCCAACCTCACAAACCACAGTCTCTACACAATCTAACCTCACGTAGGAAACGGGGGGCCTTGGCTTGAGGCAGCCCCTTCGCGGAAACACCCTCTTCGGGAGCTGTGGGCAGCCAGCTGCCCCCCACACCTCCCCTAATGACCCGCATCCGCAGCCTTCTGCAGGGAAAACGGGTTCTGATGGTCCCTGGGTCTGGGACGCTTTTGGGGCCCGTGGCCAGTCTCTCAGCGGCAGAGACAGCACGTGAGAAGCAGCGTCAGGTTCTGGGGTACCTGCGGCAGAGGCTCCGGGATCCATGCCGCCCCCTCCCGCACGGCCCGGCCCAGGTGCGTGAAGGCGCCCCAGACGGGCCCGTCGAGGTAGGCGGCCAGGCCGTGGAGGGACTGCTCGGCGTCCGACACCAGGTGAAGGCTGGCCGTCTCCATGTTGCTGTAACCTGAAAGGACGGGGCATCGTGGGACCCCGTAAGGGCTCCCCTGAATATCGGAGGGGCGGGGGGGCCGCCGCTCGGGGTCCCAGACCCCCATAAGGGCTCCCCTGAACATCGGAGGGGCGGGGGGAGCCGCCGCTCGGGGTCCCGCGGTGTTAGCGCGAGCATCCTCCGGCCGACAGCGTGACACCCTCGCACGCGCCCGACTCTGCGACCCCAGGGACTGCAGCCCGCCCGGCTCCTCTGTCCATGCGACTGTCCGGGCAAGAAGACCGGAGCGGGTTGCCATGCCCTCCTCCAGGGGATCTTCGCGACCCAGGGACCAAACCCACGTCTCTTGCACTGGCGGGCAGGTTCTTTACCCCCAAGCCACCTGGGAAGCCCATCTGTGTATCAACCTGTCTGTTTACCTGTCAGTCACCTCCAACTCTCTCTGTCTCATCTGTTAACCACCTACCTGTCCATCTGTATATGTCTCACCTGCCTGTTTATCTAGCAGCTATCATGTATGTGTGAAGAAGTCTATTTACCCGTCATTTGTCATCTCTGCTCATCTGTCGTTCACCCATCAACATGTTACCTATTCATCAGTCCCTCCATCACCGTTTTATCCTTCATTTATCTGTGTGCCCTGCAAAAGGAAATGGCAGCCCACTCCAGTACTCTTGCCTGGAAAACTCCACGGATGGAGGAGCCTGGTAACCTACAGTCCATGGGGTCACACAGAGTCAGACACGACTGAGCGACTTCACTTTCACTTTTCCATTTATCTATCTACCCATCTTGCTGTCATCTCTGTTATCAGTTTATATCTATTGATCTATAAACTTATCTACTGTTTATCCACATATCCATCCATCGAGCCTGTATTTATCATCTGTCTGTCTTTCTGTCATCTCTCCCTTCACTTATCCTATTATCTGTTTGTCCGTCTGTCTGTCCTCGATTTATTCATCAGCTATCTGTCTAGCTACCTTCCTATCAACTATCTGTTCATCCATCTACTTATCTATTTACATGCCTATACATTCACCTATGAATCAGTCAAGCTATTTATCATGTATCCATCCACCCATCTATCTACTGGGCTTCCCAGGGGTCTCAGCGGTAAAGAATCTTGTGGCCAATGCAGGAGACACAGAAGACGCAAATTTGATCCCTGGGTGGGGAAGATCCCCTGGAGAAGGGCAAGGCAACCCTCTCCAGCATTCTTGCCTGGAGAATCCCGCGGACAGAGGAGCCTGGCGGGCTGCAGTCCCTGGGGTCGCACAAAAGCAGTCACGACTGAAGCGCGTGAGCAAGCACCATCTGTCTGTGACCTGTTTGTTATCCGTGAACTGTCTATTTATCCACCATCCATCCATCCATCCGCCCATCCAAGTATCATTCTACTACCTCTCAGCGTCTAGGCACTCACCTGACCTGTCTGCCTACCTGAACAGATGAGTAAGAATGTGCAGCTATCTACGCTGTGCACACGTCCACACCCTGAGAGTTGTTTTCCTTGGAGGACCTTGGTGGATACAACCCCTCTGAGTCCACAAACAGGTCTCTCTCCTAAACATCACACACACAGACACACACACCATGCTGCTGCTGCTAAGTCGCTCCAGTCGTGCCCGACTCTGTGCGGCCCCATAGACGGCAGCCCACCAGGCTCCCCCGTCCCTGGGGTTCTCCAGGCAAGAACACTGGAGTGGGCTGCCATTTCCTTCTCCAGGGCATGAACGTGAGAAGTGGAAGTGAAGTCGCTCAGTCGTGTCCGACTCCTAGCGACCCGGTGGACTGCAGCCTACCAGGCTCCCCCGTCCCTGGGGTTCTCCAGGCAAGAACAGTGGAGTGGGCTGTCATTTCCTTCTCCAGGGCATGAACGTGAGAAGTGGAAGTGAAGTCGCTCAGTCGTGTCCGACTCCTAGTGACCCCATGGACTGCAGCCTGCCAGGCTCCTCCATACATGGCAGTTTCCAGGCAAGAACACTGGAGGGGGCTGCCATTTCCTTCTCCAGGGCATGAACGTGAGACGTGGAAGTGAAGTCGCTCAGTCGTGTCCGACTCATAGCGACCCGGTGGACTGCAGCCCGCCAGGCTCCCCCGTCCCTGGGATCTTCCAGGCAGGAGTACTGGAGCGGGTGCCATTGCCTCCTCCGACACACACCCCTATCTCCTCCTAAACATCACACACACACACCCCTAGTTCCTCCTAAACATCACACAGACACACACACCCGTTTCCTCTTTGCCCACGCCCCTGCTCCCCGCCCTCTGGGAACCGCCCTGTGTCCGGGACACAGGGCTGGCCGGTCTGCCCATCTCTGCTCAGGAGCCACTGTCGCTTGGCGGCCGGGTCCCACCTGCGGAGCTGCCGCGCCGACACCAGGGCGGCCCCTCACCTCCGCCCGGCCCCTCACCTCCGCCCGGCCGCCGCAGTGACACCCGGGAGGCCCTCACCTCCGTCGGCCTTCTGCAGCAGCCCCAGGGCCACCGCGCCGACAGCCGGGAAGCCCCTCACCTCTGTTCGCCTTCTGCAGCAGCCCCAGGGCCGCCGCGCCGACACCCGGGAGGCCCCTCACCTCCGCCCGCCTTCTGCAGCAGCCCCAGGGCCGCGCATACATCCAGCAGGCGCTCGGCGCCGTCCACCGAGGCGTCGATTTCGCGGGCGACGTCCGCAGCCGTCAGGGGGCCTCGATCTTTCAGAACATCGAACACGTTGAGCTTGCAAGCCGTGAGCAGGACCTGACCGTGAAGGAGGGCCACAGTCAGGCTGCGACGGGACTGACCGATCGCTTGTGACCCCGCCACGGACGGCGGGGAGTGGGGGGCGAGACTGTCAGAAACGCCACGCCCGTCAGGGACCCTCTGCAGCGGACAGTTGGGTTTGGGCTCCAGCGTGCATAAGGTTTGCTCCAGGGAAGAACGAGTCGGTGAGGGTTAAGCAGAAAAGCTCTCTCAGCAGAGAAACCCAATGCGCTACGGTCAAGGGGTGCGCGGTAGCTCCCCACGGTGCCTACGTCGAGGCCACAAGCCCTGGGACCTTGAGACGAGGCTGCGTGTGGACTTGGGCGCTCCCTGCGGGACAGACTCCACGCCACGCACGACACTCCTCACGGGACGGGATAACCCCCTCGGGGCTCTCATAACAGAGGAACCTTCCCCGGACACGTGGGGCACAGCTTGCTGTGAGCCGTGTCCCTGCAGACACCCACTCGGACCCCGCCCCAGCCCTGCCAGGCACAGACCACAGTCACGTTCGAAAAAGATAGTGTTTACATCCTGACCCCCAGAACAAGCGAACAAGGCCTTCCGTGGAAATGAGATGTTTTCGCAGACGTGATGCAGTGAAGGGTCTGAGATGAGGCCCTCCTGGACGGGGGTGGCCCTAAACCCAGGGACAGGGTCTTTATAAGACACAGAAGAGTAGAGACACGTGGAGACGCAGGCAGAGACGGGAGGGAGGCCGCCACCAGCCCAGGGACGGACGCCCGGAGCCCCCAGAAGCTGGAAGAGGCGGCGAGGACCCTCCCCTGGAGCCTCTGCAGGGAGCCCAGCCCTGGGGCACCCTGACCTCAGACGTCTGGTCCCCAGGACTGGGTTGGGGGGTGTGAGATGGATGCCTGTGGTTTGAAGCGCCCCCTGTGCTGGGGGTCACGTGGTCGCGAACGCAGAGGGGTACCTTAGATGCTTTGAAGCCGTCCATCAACCCCAGGAGGCCCGCAGGGAGCGGGGGCTGGCTGGCCCTCACCCCATTCAGGTCCGCAGCGTCCCGGGTGCGGGGAGCCCGCGGCTGCGCCCCGCCCGCCTCCAGGCCCCCACTGGCGGGAGCCTGGTTGGAGACACCTCCCTCGGCGTCGCTGAGATCCTCGAAGGCGTCGAAGGCAGGGATGGAGTCGCAGTGGGTCCGCCGCGGGGCGCCGGGGGCCCAGGGTGCGTGGTAGAGGCGCGCCAGCTCCTTGCAGAAGCGGTTCAGCGGGAAGCCCACCACATTGAGGAAGTCGCCGCGCACGTACTCCACCAGCATCCCACCCAGCGCCTGGATCCCGTAGCCGCCGGCCTTGTCCCTGCGCGGCGTGAAGGACCGCAGCGGGGCAGGGAGGAAGGGGAGAAGAGACGGACACGGTGATGATGAGCTTTGACGGGTGTGCACACCCGGCCGGTCGGGAGCCCGCTGACCTCCGGTCCGGGGCAGCCGTGCGCCGCAGGCGGCCGGCTCCAGGACCAGTCCCCAGGAGCATTCCCTCGGTGCCACCCCCAAGACGGGATGAAGGCAGCTTCTGGGGGTGCACGAGGGGGCACCTGCCCCCACGCCAGACCTGCGTCTCCTGAGGGGGTGGGCTTTGCCCACAAGAGACCGGGGCCTCCAAGTGGGGTCTTCCCTCATCTCTCTGCCGGGAGCCTCAATAGGAGGACTCCTCGCGGGGTTTCACAGCCCGGGTCTTCCCGGAAACCTCTGCTGAGACCTCCTTACATGGGAAAAGGGGTCCGTCCAGCGCCTCGGTCCATCTTGACTGAGCCCCCAGCCCCTCTCTTCCCACAGACCAGGGTGCAAAGAACAGAGGAGATGGGATTTGGGGATTTGGGATGCGGGGGGCTCCCTTGAAGTGTCAAAGGGTTTCCCAGGTGGCACTAGTGGTAAAGAACCCGCCTGCAATGCAGGAGACATGGGTTTGATCCCTTGGTTGGGAAGATCCCCTGGAGAAGGGTCTGGCAACCCACTCCAGGATTCTTGCCTGGGGAATCGCATGGACAGAGGAGCCTGGTGGGCTACAGTCCGTGGGGTTGTAGAGAGTCGGACACGACTGAGCGGCTTTCACTGACGCTGGGCGGGGAGACCAGCCTCACAGCAGCATCTGCACTGACCCGCCCGACCCACAGCAGTGCCCTTTGCTGGAGGACACAGCAGTGATGTAGGGACAGGGGCACGGGGTAAGACACCCTTCCATCCTTCCTAAGCACGCTGCCCGGCCCTGGGCCCCTGGGCACGTGGTGGGCACAGGCCCCCAGCGCAGGCTCAGCCCCGGCCCATCTCCTGCATTCAGCACCGCGGCTCCAGACAGGGGCTGGGTTCAGCACCGCGGCTGCGGACAGGGGTGGGGTTCAGCCCCGTGGCTGTGACAGAGACTCACATGGGCTCCCCGCTGTCGATGTATTCCCACAGCAGCTCCTCCGACAGCTCCGAGAACTTCACCGTGGTCTCCTCGTAGAACTCGGACACCCAGGTGTCCAGCTGGCCGTCTGCAAGGAAGCGCGCGCTGCGGTGAGGGGGCGCAGCCGGTGCCCGTGGGGGCCCACAGGTCTAACCGTTTGAGCCCATGAGGAGGAAGCCTGATGCTGAAGCTGAAGCTCCAATACTCTGGCCACCTGATGGGAAGAACTGACTCACTGGAAAAGACCCTGATGCTGGGAAAGACTGAGGTCAGGAGGACAAGGGGACGACAGAGGATGAGATGGTTGGATGGCATCACCATCTCGACAGACGTGAGTTTCAGGAAACTCCGGCAGACGGTGATGGACACGGAAGCTTGGCGTGCTCCAGTCCATGGGGTCTCACGGAGTCGGACACGACTGAACAAGTGAGGAGCAGGAAAGCCTGACCTTTGCGTGTGACTCACACACACACACATGCTCATTAATAGGGAATAAAAGATTCTCCACTGTACACAGGAGAAACAGAGAGAAAGAATAAAACAGAAAGTGAAGCGAGAGTGTTGGCCACTTCAGTCACGTCCGACTCTTTGCAACCCCATGGACTGTAGACCACCAGGCTCCTCTGTCCATGGGATTCTCCAGGCAAGAACACTGCGGTGGGTTGCCATGTCCTCCTCCAGGGGATCCTCCCGACCCAGGGACTGAGCCTGGGTCTCCTGCATTGCAGGCAGATCCTTCACTGTCTGAGCTACCAGGGAAGCCGATAAACCAGAAAAGAAGCCGACAAGATGGGCACGCAGCAGAAAGGCCTGCAGTCCACAGGGCTGGACGAGACGGGGCCTCTGGTTTCTGTGGGAATTTATGGACTGGAGTTGTTGTTATGAGAGGACAATTCTGAGATCTACACGAGGCTTTTGGCTGTGGGGCTGGAAATGCCCCATGCACACGGCACGCTGGGCACACACAGGGGCCACTTGGGAAAAACCTCCACGCCAGGCGTCCCGGGGTCAATAAGTGTGTGCGTGCCTGTGAGGTCAGTGTCTCAGTCATGTCCGACTCTCTTCGACCCCATCAATCGCAGCCCGCCAGGTCCTCTGTCCCAGGGATTCTCTAGACAAGAACGCTGGAGTGGGCTGCCATTCCCTTCAGGGGATCTCCCCGACCCAGGGATCGAACCCATGTCTCTTGTGCCTCTGCATGGGCAGGCGAGTGCTTTACCACTGAGCCACCTGCAAACCCCCCGCAGGCTCCGTGGTGCTCCTTAAACTTCACGCCCACCTGGGACCTCAGAACGGGACATTATATGGAAACAGGGTCTCTGCACAGGGCATCAAGTGAAGGGTCTGAGATAAGGTTTCTCCTGGATGAGGGTGGCCCTAAACCCCATGGCAGGCTCATTCCTGGGGCTAAAATCTCTTTTAAGCAGCTTTAAAGTTACTCCTCAGGCTTTCTGTGCTTTAAAAAAAAAAAATTTCTTTTCATCACAGAATGTCTTTAACACCTGCCAACGGGAGCCAAGCTGCTCCACCATTCGGTCAAGAGAGCTCAAAGGCAGGCCCTCGGTGGGTCATGTTGGATGAGGTGCGCTGTCCCCTACACCCCACATGGGGTCCACTGGATGCTCAAGATGAACCCCCCCCATATTTCCACGTGGGACCCCAACGTTCCCAGGCCAGGTGGGAGGGCGGGCCCGTGTGGTAGCAATGACAGGGATGCTGCAGGGTGCCTGGGCCCTCCCCCCAGGAGCCCCGGCGGCTCCCACGGTGGCCCTGGGTCCCAGGGGAGGTGGCGGACGCGGGCGGCCAGGTACCTTTGGTGCAGCAGTGGACGACGGCCACGCCCGTGAAGACACTGTGCTCCGTCCCGCTGAGCCTGCAACACACGGCCGGGCCGGACGCGTGACTCCGCAGTGTCTCTGCAATGCAGGGTGACCCCTGGCCCGCAGCATGAGGCCCCTGTCCACCCACCGGCCCTGCCTCCATCACCCCGGGCGGGGCCGCCGAGGAAACCGCCCCACGGGGACCGTGAAGCTCCCCGCGAGACTCTGGTCACTGGCTCAGACAGTGGCTGGGGGGGTGGCTGGGCCATCTCACGGGACGAAACACAGGACCACGTGGACCCTGACGGGAGCGGCCAGCAGGGCACAGAGGACCCGGATCCCGGCCGCTCTGGGCCACCCCTTTCCCGGGTCCCTGTGCAGTCCCGGGCGTGGACAGCCAGCGTGCCCGAGCCAGGAGGAGACCCTGAATGTGGGGGCCGGTGTGGGGAGTCGTTAAGAGTCGAGGTCAGTTCAAGGGCACTGCCTGGTCCCCTGACCTGAACCAGAAGGGGCTATCTCTGGGAGACAGCAGATGTGGTGCCCGTGGCAGACACGGGGATGTGATGGGTGATGGGTGATGGGTGGGCGGACAGGTAGGTGATGAGCGGATGCTGACGCTGACTGGACACATGGCGAACAGCCCAGCCTCTGTCCCACGCGTCCCTGGAGGACGGCCGGGACCCACCCACCTCGACAGCATGCGGTAGGCATCCTGCTTATCCACCGGCTTCTCCAGGATCAGTCCCCCGACCGCCTGCGAGAGAAATGCCATGGAGAACATTGCTTCTGTTCCCCGGGCTGCTCTGCACCAGCTACACTGTCCACCGTTTTAGACTCAGGTTTTTTGTTTTTTGTTTTTTAATTGAGGTGAGATTCGTATAACGTGACACTCACCATGTTAAATGAAACCATGTGGCACATTTCCACTGTTGGGTGAGGATCACTACTGAGTTCCTGAAGTCTTTCATTGTCTGGACACCCCATCCCCACAAGCTGTCTCTCCCCACCTCGTTCCCTAGCCCCTGATAACTGCTGATCTGCTTTTCTCCTCAGTGGATTCACCTATTCCGGACATTTCATACAAACAGAATAATACATGTCCTGTGTCTGCTTCTCTCACCGAGCACTGGGTGTTCAAGATCCATCCATGTTGTAGCCTGTGTTGGGGCTTCACTCCTTTTCATGGCTGCGTCATA